ACTTCTTTTTACATCTCTTATACAAACAAAATATTTAATATATATATATATATATATATATATATATATATATATATATATATATGTACCAATTTTCCTCCTGTTAATAATTTCCACTCCCCCCCCCCCTTCTTCCTTGACTGTAAATAATTAATTAAAACTATAAATTCTGTTTTCTCTTCACATCGGGTATTTTAATATTTTATGATGTCTTATATTTCAGTATATAGGAGTATAGAAAATTTTTGACATCAAATGAATAGGTATGGGACCTATTTTAATAGGTATGGTACCATTTTAATAGGTATGGTACATATTTTAATAGGTATGGTACCATTTTAATAGGTATGGTCTCTATTTTAATAGGTATGGTACATATTTTAACAGGTATGGTACCATTTTAATAGGTATGGTACCATTTTAATAGGTACGGTACCTATCTTATTTTTGGAAACTTTTTTCTGAATTGGAGTTTATAGAAAGAAAAACGACACGGAATGACGTGGAGAAATTATAATATGTATATATATAGAGAAGGAGAGAGAGAGAGAGAAAAGAGTTAGGAAGCAAAAGGGAGAGAGAGAGAAATACGTAGAAAGCTAGTATCTATCTATCTTTATCGCATGTGTCTCAGTGAGTCCTTCTCTCGGTGTATATAGCACCCGATGTTTTCGCGTCGAGGCATGCGCCAAGATCTATATTAAACCCAGCAAAGAAGCAAACAGTCGCTCGATTGCGAAACGACTCTTGATATTTTCGTGCGGCGGCAACAAGTAACTGCTTCCGGTCCAAACTTCCCCCAACATTCACCCCGCCCGCCGTCGCCGCCACAGTCAGAAACTAATCCCCCAGCCACCCACGCATTCGTCAGGCCACAACGCTTTACAAACTAACACACACCGACCATTATATATTCTCTAATATATATTTGAAAAAAGTATTCTAAAAAAATTTTTTTATCTTTTATATACTCACCCAGAATGTTGCCACCATATTCATCCTTTAATGTTGTATCAATTTTGACTATATGATAATATGTGACGCTCCACTGTGAAAAGGATCCTAACTTCCAATTAAGATTAGGCACTGAGCCTAATGTTATTTGGGAGATTAGGTTCCGTTCACCGTGTAGAGTCACGTTTATAGTCAAAATGCTTCGAACCATCAAAAACCTGCTGAAACAGAAGAAAAAAAAGAAAAAATTAGTGAAGTGAATACTAACAGTACCTAAAAGAACTGATACTAAGATAATTCACCTAGATTCGGCTAAGGTCCTGGTGGCATGTGGACTAACCAAAAAGCTTCATCAGTAAGAAAAGGATAGACATACATTTGTCTTTTTCTAACTAATAGGATTAATAGTTAATCCGAACGGCACCAGGACCTTTACCGGATCTTAATTATCTTAGCTGACAGCGAGGCTAAAAGTAACAAAATGGTTATTAAAAATAAATATTACCTTAAACAGTAAGAATAGAAGTTAAAAGTAAATAAATAGTAAATGTAAAAGTTACTTACAATAAATTACCAAACGCGTTTCATCGATCCCATTCATTTCCAATTTCGCCTATATATACTTTAATTGACATCCAATTTTCATAAGCATTCAATTTTTCCTTTTTTATATTCAATTCCCATCGTGCTTGGTAAATATCACGATTTTCTAAAAAGAATTTGTTTAATCAGCATTTTTAATAATAATATATACACAACTTTGAGAATCGAATTGCATTACAATCGGTATGTTTCATAAGAAATCGATCGCTGTAGAAATACCTCTCTTTCTTCTTCTCCATCTCCTTCCTTTTTTTTTTTTTAATGTATCGAATACTGCTGTTGTTGTATATATATACCTATATATACTCGCAAAGACAATTTCATTGAAGACATTTCGCGGAATCCAAGAGGCAACTTCGAGTTGTGCCACGTTTCTTTAATAACTCACACGGTGAATGAAGTGAATATATATCTTGCACGTCATGTTTCTTGTCTGTAAATGAAAATAACGAGCATTATAGTTTATTGCAAAAAAAAAAGAAAGAAAACGAACGAACGGCAAAACAAAAATCTTGAGTAATTTTTTCCTCGAATTTTATAATTCCAATTGCGAATGAATATCTTTTTTAAAATATTCTCCTCGTGTGGTTTTTATTATTTGATTTTTAAATTATAATTAAAAAAATCCAATTTTTCGTATGTAAGGTATATAAGAATATGTTAAATAAAATATTTATTGTAGGCGGTGCGATTGAGAAAGTCAGAAAGCGCAGTGGACTTCTGCGCATACTATACTCTTAGCAACATGCGCAGAAGTCCATTGCGCCTTTCTGACTTTTTCGATGCCACTGCCTACTCAAGAGCATATGTTGTTTACGTACCCCAACTATCTAAATTACAACTCCTTTTTCCACTGTGCGCATTACTTTAAAAATTTATCAATTAACCTTATTGTCAATACACATACTAAAATATTCATATATTTGTGCGCATGCGCTTTTTAATATTTACAATATCGCTTAAAATTGTACTGCAAAATTTTTTACACCGATTGCAATCACAGTAAAATTATTGAATTTTTTCTTCTTAAGAATAGAATGAGCCTTCGCAAAAGAGGGTTATAGGGAGGAGAAGGGGCAACTGACCAGGTGTGCGCACGTGGGGAGACCCGCTTCGCGCCCACGCTTCTTCGCTTCGAGAGAGGCTTTACGAGTTCTGTGAAGTCCCCTTCCCCCTCCCCGCCTCTCATCTCGTGCCCACATCATCAGTCCCCTGCGACCAGATCCACTTCTTCCTCCATACTTATTTTGCATTTATGTACCACTGCAACTAAAGGGACTTTTGGTCAATATATTTAAAAGAATACAAGCGCGCAAAATACCATCGTTGCCTCTTATACTGACGTTCGTGCCTAATATCCGCCCTAAACCTTAAATAATATAACTAACATCCGCCCATAATCCAGTGATTAAAAATTTATCAATTAACCTTATTGTCAATACACAAACTAAAAAATATAAATGCACTCTAAAGAAAAGTAACTCATGAGCAAAAAAAGTTTTAGGTTATGTTTCGCGTATCTCCATAGAACTTGAAGTTAATTTTTAAAAGAGAAAACTAATAAAATTAATGATATAATTAAATGTAAATGCTACATTAAATGCATAATGCATACCCTGTCTATATAATAATGAGAGAAAAAACTGAATGCATATAACGTTTGTTTATATATATAGGTAGTGTAGAATGCAATTTAAATTTAGTTTTGTGCAATAAAGGAAATCAGAGGGCGGATAAAAAAAAAGAATTCCATTATAAATATGTTCTGGGAAAAAAAGTACCGCTAGTCCGCCGATCGGAAGAATGTGCCCCCTGTGTATTTAATTATAAGGAGTGTAGGCGCGAGGGAACTGCAAGAGATTAATAGAATAATGAAGATTATTGTGCGCTTTATATACACATTTTTCTTTTTTCACAATTCTCGCGAGTATTTTGTGCCTCATTTATGTTCATAAAATATATATATTCTTACTAATTCAGCTAGGACGTACAACTTAGTGTTTAGTTATTAAAACATAGTATATTACGTTTTAATATAACTAAAATTAAGTATATAATTAAAATATACTTTTTTGTTTTTGTATTGACAATAAGGTTTAATATAACAAATTTTTAAATTTGCACGACCGAATGATCATTATACAACCCTTAGTTGGTTCTGCGTGATGCCAAACTTTTGTGTACTGCATATCAAGTTTAACTCACCCAACTGCGATTTTAGTTATTAAAACGTTTTAATATAACTAAAATTAAGTATATAATTGAAATATACTTTATTGTTGTTTGACAATAAGGTTAAATATAAAAAATTTTTAAATTCACACGACCGAATGATCACTATACGTCCTTTACTTGGTTCTGCGTGGACTCCAAACTTTCGTGTACTGTTTATCAAGTTTAATTCACACACTGCAATTTTTCTGAAATAAATAAAATACAGAAACTATTAAGATAAAAGTGACACAAACATAACCTAAAAATTATTTACCTCTCTCTTTGGAGCGCAATATAATTACCATTTATTATAAAGTAATGAATAGATTTTAACGTAATAACTCAGGGGAGAATTGATGGATATGAAAACAAAATGAGAAATATGAAACGAAGGGATAAATAATTGCCGTATATGGATATGTTGGAGTATAAATGTTAAATGTGGGGGGAGAATAAGGGAGTCAGGACGATATGGTTGAGTGAAGGGTATATACCGGAGGCTGGAGGAAAAGACTTTGCGCGTGTAACGCGTGACCTTGCCAAGGTCACGCAGCTTGAAGAACAATGCCCAGGTGCAACAAACTTGGTTCGTATTCGGGCCCAAGGCTCTCGACCTGTTTCAAGTCCTCTGAAATTATCAAAACTCTCTCTTCAAAAAAAATAAGACAAGTAAACATAACTTAAGAACTGAGAACCTCAATACCAAAAAAATTAGTTAAATACGTTTATACTGTTTTCTACTGACTTTACTGACAATTAGATGATTAAGACGTTTTTTTAGGTTAGGTTACGAGGCATAGAAAAGATCTGGTAATTTCGGGCAGTTTTCCACTTTACCGACGTAGGGTATAAACGTCGATAAAGTGGAAAACTAACAAAAATTACCAGGCATGACGTCATAGTCACTCGAGCAAAAAAAGAAAATCTTTCTCAAACCTAATAAACGATAACAATAAAAATAAAGAAGGGAGAGTGTTAAGAAAAGAAAAAATTACGTAATACGAAAAATATCTTACACTAAAAATATATCCCCTTTCTTTTATGAACTCCTTTAATTGCGCTAATTTCTACACTCGACTGGAATTAATTGTGTCGAGTTTCATTATATTTATACGTGTGTATAACGAGAACTTAGTTTGTATAATAGTAATTCCAATTGTTTCGTGCTAAAAAAAACTTTTAGTAAACAAGCCAAAGAGAAATGACGTATTTTTTTCTTTTTTTTGCAGGAAGCTGGTCATTAACCCACTTGGAAGAAAGAAGACCAGGAAAAAATGTTACACTCAATGATGGAAGTGAAAAAAAGGAACATGGCAATACAAATGAGGGATATGGAAATAAGAAGAAGAACTGTGGAAATAAGGAAAAGGAATATTGAAATACGAGAGAGGAATAGCGAAATAAATGAAAAGAATACTGAAATACAAGAAATGCTTATGAAAATAAAAGTAAGGGATATGGAAATACAAGAAAGGAATATCAAAATAAAAGAATTGAATATCGAAATAGAAGAAAGGAATATCGAAATACTAAAAAGGGATTTAGAAATTAAAAAAAGGGATTTAGAAGTACAAAAGAGGAATGTGGAAAGAGAAAAGATATATACGGAAATAAGAAAAAGAGGAGTGGAAGCACTGAAAAGGGCTATGGAAATAAGAAAAGGACTTATGTGATCATGTAAAAAAAAATAAAAAATATCTAATTTTGATGGAAAAAAATATCTAATATTGAATAATGTACTCGGATGTAGAATAAAAGTAAAATATTATGTATTAATATATAAATAAAATTAAACTTACATTTGTGATTGCTTTTTCTTCTTCTTCTTCTTTTCTTTTTTTGTTCCTTATTGGGGAGGTAAATTTATCTCTCCTCGGTCAATTATCGCTAATCTCTCTTATTTCGTAGAGAAGTGCCTTTTATATCTCATGGCATCTTCCTCAGACTTTCTGTCGGCTATTTAAGAGTCGTAAAACTCGGTTGGTCACTTGTTAACCCATTTTGAACCCTGGGGAACGTGAGATATATCATCTCTCGTACAACGGCACAAGTAATTTATACTGCAAATCCAAGAAAAATCATTTCTATATAATATAATAACTGTCAAATGTGGGGAAATTTGGAAAATAAAGATTTCTTTACATTAAGAAAGCAATTTTTTTAAATTAGTACTTTTCAAATAATTTTAATTTGACGGTCAGTTTTTTTTTGTTAATTAAACATTTAAATTTAACTAAAATTATAGGTTATGCTGAATTCTAGTTTAAACTAAAAATCCTAAACATAAATAATTACAATTTCTTAAAAATCTGTTGCAATTGTATAAAAATTATTTCAATTTAAAAAAAGAAACGTTTATTCGATTTTAGGTTATGTTAACTTTAGCGCGTCTATTATCTTCTTATTACTCTTTTTTCCTTTTTTTAATTTTGTTTTTCAAATTCTAACATAACCTATAAAATTTCGCTGTTCTATTCTCAATTTACTTTGATTTAAAATTCCTAATTTCTAATTAATTAATTATTCTTTCTGTTCTAACATAACCTGTAAATTTTTGTTTTTTTTATCGATTTGACTTAGTTCCCTTTATAATAAGAAAGACCTTTTCTTTTTTAATTTTGCTTTTCTCGATTTTCTATAATTGTTTTTATTTTAACGTAACCTATCAATTTTTGCTGCAAAATCATCGATTTACCTTTATTTCTTTGTTGATAAAAAAATCCTATTATTTAAATTTTGTTTTTCTAGTTTGCCAATTGTTCTTATTAATTTAACATAACCTAAAAATGTTTGCTACTGCTTCATCATCGATTTACCTCCATTTACTTTATTAAAATTAAAAATTTCTATTCCTACGTTTAATTTTGTTTTTATTATTGTTCTTATTCCAACATAACCTATAAATTTTTGCTGTTTTATGATTTATAACCAATTTACCTTGAATTCATTCGTTTCTTAATTAAAAATCTCAACTCCTTTTAAATTTTGTTTTTCTCATTGCTAATTATTTTTCTTAGTCTAACATAACCTATAAATTTTTACTGCTTTATTTACTTTACCTTCATTATTGAATCCTTTGATTAGAAATACCCATTGCTTTTTAATTATTTGTTCATTTTATTTTTCTCGTTTTTCTAATTGCGTTCTTCTCATTCTAACATAACCTATAAATTTAAATGCAGTGCTCAACTCTTTCTCTACATAAAACATCACATTTCGAATATTGATTATAGTAATATTATAGTTTTGTATTATTTTTCTATTCTTTTCCATTTTCCTAGTTCAAACAGTAAAATATCAAAATTTGGCTAAATTCTGTTTCGATTGTCAAAATTGTCACCTTAAAAATATTGCAGGAAAAACCCTTTTTTTGTATGTAAATTAATTAATAAAGTTTTTGATACCTACTTTTTTGCAGTGTAAAACGACAATTTTGTATATATATATTGCAACAAACCACAACATTTATTACATAACTTACTTTGACGAGACCCGGTATATGTGTGATACCCGCACCGGAAATGCGCCCCCACTTCTTCTCGCTACCACCCCTTTCGGCCCTCTGTGACCCTTCCTTCTATACGTTCTATACACAAGATTCTGAGGCCCCTGCCGGCTCACCGCCAGATTAACATAATTTAATTTGAGCAGTCCTTTTTAAATAGCAAAAAAAATTTCTTTTTAATCATAGAGAAATTTTTTCGTGAAAAACAGATTTTTTCTTTCGTTTTGTTCAATTTTTTCACCTTTTTCTTGTAAATAATTAAGCAGTAAGTGATAATTAATAAAAGTGAAGTGAGTGAAATTCAAATTCAAATATACTTCCGTTTTTACTCGCCAGAGTTTCCAGGATTGCAACCTTTTTTCGCGCAGTGTTACCAACCAACCGTTTCGTAGTCAACTTCATTATCTTCGATAACAATAAGACTTGTTTTTTATCTTTTTTATTTATTAAATTATTAAGAAGAATAAAACGTGATTTGTTAAAAAAAACTAAAAATGTTAATTTACAATTAAATCCCACCACTGGGTGAATAGCGTTTACTGTTTCAATCAACTTTTGTAAATATTTCACAAAGACGAAAATTAATAATTCAGAAAAAATGGCATTTCGTATATTACGATTTTGTGGTCAAATAAATCAATCTATAAATAATATTCGTAGTCTAGAGATTCGTAAGTAAATATTATTATTTAACAAAATAAATGTTCTTTCTCTAAATAAAAAAATGTTGCAGTTAATGAAATTCGGTCTTTGGTATTTAGTAACCTAACCTCAAAATTATTTTATTTTGCTTCTTTCTCTCAGAAGGAATTTGTCAATAATATTAACGTTTCTTATTAATTTTTCTTAGTTTCTATTTATTTTGCTTTCGAATCCTCTTTCTCTTTATTTAACTATTTTATCTGCTGTTAGAAATTAGAAATTTAGTAAAAAAAAAACCGTATAATACATGTCAATTTTGAGGTTATAAATGCAAATTTCGAAAAATATAAAAAATAATATTAGTTGCATGTATAATTTTTATATAAAAATAGAAAATACATTTTTTAATGTTTTGTACAATATAATTACTATATATTTTTTACAAAATGTATTAATCGTAACCATTCTAATATAAAAATTTTATAACATAAAATTTCGTTTTTTTCTAACACAAATAACATTTTTTTTCTTTCTCTCAGGAAAAATGTGTACTGGACTAAAATCAGTACAATTATTATGCCCGCAAATACCAATAAAGTATAATCAACGAAAATCATCATTTTTCCAAAGCAGTAAGTAAAAGAGAAAATATTTTTGTCAATTTTTTTTGTATTTAGACAAATTTTTTAAGTGGAAAAAATTCTCCCTTTTTTTATAATGAAATATATAAAACTAAATAATAAACAATTATTAAAATATTAAATAATATTAAAATTAATATTAAGTTGATATTAATATTAAAATAATATGAAATTAATATTAAAGTAATATTAATTAATATTAATAAAAATATTAAATAATAATAAATAATTTTTCCAGAGTCTGGTGAGGAATTATGGAAATCGGTGACAAGTGTAAGTAATGCGGGTAGAAGAAGAGGTCGAGGTAAAAGGGGCTCTCTGTCGAAATTGAGAAAAAATTTAAATTTGGGCCAAAGAATTGGTTTTGGTAAAAAGCGAATGTTATGGCCGGGTTTAACTGGTCCAGTGGTGCAGGGAAAATCTCTCGTTTCACAACAACGATTGCCCGATCTTGAGGATTTCGAAAAGAAAATTATTGAAATACGAGACGCTGGAAATAAATTCAAAAGAACTAAGGTTCATCCCCTCGATCGTGGTTGGACTAGTGCGAAAATGGGCGGAAGGAAAATTGGTCCACCAGACGCCGATAATGATGGTAACAATATTTTTTATTAATATTTGCGAATCAGAAAATTTATTCAAGAATTTATTAGTTCAATCTAATTAATCTACTTTAGTTAAATTTAATTAATTTACTTTAGTTAAATTTAATTAATTTACTTTAGCTAAATTTAACTAATTTACTTTAGTTAAATATTTAATTTAAATATTAACGTACTTGTGAATAATTATTTTCCGTTTATCAAGAATCATTCGAGGGATTCGAGACAATTGTCCTGGAGAGTAAAATAACTGGACACATGACGGGAAATATGGGGCGAGTTAGAACATTCTCGTGTTTCGTGGTGACTGGAAATGGAAACGGATTGGTTGGCATTGCTTTGGGAAAATCGACTGACAGTCAGGCGGCTATAAGAAATGCGAGAAACAGCGCTGGAAAGAAATTATTTTACATTCATCGATACAATGAGCATACAGGTAATAATTTAGATCTCAACTTGAATATTCAAATAAATTCAAACCCTAATTTTAATTTCTCTTTTTCCTTCTTTTTTTTGGGGGACAGTTTTCCACGATTTCTTTACACAATTCAGCACTTGTAAAATATACGTGAAACAAAAACCGCCCGGCTATGGTTTAGTTTGTCATCGTGCAATTAAAGCCATTTGTCAAATGATTGGCATTAAGGATCTTCATGCAAAAATTGAGGGCACGACCAACACTCAGTCGCTGACAAAATCCTTCTTAATTGGACTATTGCAGCAGGTATTTGTTCCTTTTTTCTTGACTCAATTTTTTTCGTTTCATTTCATTTTTTTATTTATTTCATTCTATTTTCCAAAAAATAGAAATCTATTGTTTAAAAATAGAAATTTGTTTTTAAAACATAGAAATCTATTGTTTAAAATAGAAATCAGTGTTTAAAAAATAGAATTTTTTTTTAAAAATAGAGCAAAATAATAAATTTAATATTAAAAACAAAAACTTTTTTCATTTAGAAAAACCATCAACAATTGGCGGAGGAAAAAAAATTGCATTTAGTCGAATTGAATAGGAATTTGGGCTATTTTCCGAAAGTTGTGGCCAGCCCGTCAGTGATAAGAACCGAGAAGGAAATTCCATCCACTGAACCAATGGATTTCACACAATTTGTAATGGGAGGAAGATTGAAATTGGAAAGAAAGAAATATCCACCTTTCTATATGAACGAGCCCGGTTGGTATTTTCATTTAATGAAACAGGAAAAATTACGTAACATGGATGACGTGAGAATACAATTGAGAGCCGAATACGGTGAAATTAAAACTTTTATGACCGATAAATATCCCGAAGCAAGACCACAAAATTGGTGTAAAAAGAAGGAGGAGGAACCAGTTGAAGAAGAAGAAGATTAAGGAAGCGAAACTTGCAACGATTTTTTTTTTGTTTCTTGTTTCCAAATGTTATTATAAATATATGAATTAAAAAAGTTTAGTTAAATTCTAAATAATTTTTTTTTTAAATTTACCTAATATTTCTCTTTCTACTAAATCAGGTTTACTGGAAAAATTCGATTTTGTCTTTCCCTGATTTTAAATAAATATTTAATCATTATTATTTTCCCATAGGAAAATTTTTAAATTTGAAATTCTTTTGAAAATTCTTTTCTTTTGAAATTCAATAAATTTCTAAGAATAATTAATATAAAACATGAAGAAATTAATCACTCCGAGTCTTTGACTCGGAATGATCAATTTCTTCATGTTTGATATTAATTAAAGATGACCGAATGAAAAGATTATTATTTTATATTATAAGAATATCGTTACTATAACTTCTTCAAAATTAATTTCATTATTTTCATCATTTCAATTTAATTACTATTCTCTAGAATTTTTCATTAAAATTCTTCTTTAAATCAATTATTTTTAATAATTCTTGCTTTTTTTTAGAATTTTCAAATTTATTTGTACAATTTAATTTTACGTGAAATCTCGATTATTCGGAAATTCTTCAATTAAATATTTAGAAAATAAAAATTTGAAATAATTTAAAAAAAAATTCATATTAACCTTTTTAAAAAATAAAAAAAAATTCTACAGAATTGAAAGTTAAAAGTATGAAAATTTTCAGATTTACAAAAAATTTTAGTATGAAACCTTTTCAAAATTCAATTATTTCTAAAAATTCACGCTATACTGCTATTAATATTCAATTATTCACATCTTAAATACAAAAACAAAAATAAATGTATGGAATAATTGAATATTTCTTAAAATTGAATTCTTATAAATAATGTTATCAACAAATTTTTAAATAATTGAATTTTTTATACAAATTTTAATAAAATTTTTAAGAATAATTGCATTTTTCGACGAATTCAATTAAAATTGCATAAAAAAATAATTGAAATTCTATGATGAATTTTATTATTCATGAAAATAATTAAATTATTGTGAAGAATTTCGTAAAAAATTTTGAATACCAAATCGATTTTTTTCGAAAATATTTTATTATTCATGAAAAAAATTAAGTTTTTTAAAAGTATTGAATCAAGTTTATTTCTTATTAAAAATGTTATTAATTTTGAAAAAAATTGAAATTTTTCTAAGAATTTTATTGAAATATTTCAAAATAATTGAGTTTCTGTGAACAATTTTATAAATAATTGAATTCCTTCTTAGAATTTCATTCATTTTGAAAAAAATTGAATTTTGCAAAGAAATTTATTATTTTTGAAAATAATTGAATTTCTGCAAAAAATTTAATTAATCTTGAAAAGAATTAAAAAATTTTCTGAGAATGTTATTAAAATTTGTTAAAATAATTGAATTTCTGCAAAAAATTTAATTAATTTTGAAAAGAATTAAAAATTTTTTGAAAATTTTATTAAAATTTTTTTAAATAATTGAATTTCTGTGAACAATTTTATTATAATTTCTAAAAATAATTGAATTCTTGCAAAGAATTCTTATTCTTATTCTTAAAATAATTGAATTTCTGCAAGAAATTTTATTAAAATTTTTTAAAATAATTGAATTTTAGTGAAGAATTTTTCTACATATTTATGAAAATAATTGAAATCTTAAGCAGAATTCAAATTTTTCAAAGATTTGAATTTGAAATTTTTTCAAAATTCAATTATTTCTAAAATGCCTATTATTTGTAACTTCTTAAAAAAATATTCAACTAATTTTAAAAGAATTTGAATTAAAATTCTTTAAAAAACTAAGTTCTTTAAAATTTGTAATTAAATTAATTAAAAATTGAAATTTTCTAAAATTTCAAATTGAAACCTTTTGAAATTCATTTATTTGCAAAAATTGTAAACGCAACTCTTTTAAAATTCAATTAATTTTTAAATATTTAAGTAAAATTATTTATTAAATAATTTCTAAGTAATAATTTTATGATAATTAAGTTTTTTAATTAAGAAGAATTAAGTTATTTAAAAATGAATTATTGTTCGACATAGAAAAATTTGAAGGTTTTATATTAGAATTCGTGTCAATTTCACAATTTAGGACGATGAATTCTAAAAATTTCTTTTTACTAATTTTTTTGCTAAATAATCGTTTTTTTCTAAATTCAAGAAATTTCCCTAAAATTTCAGATAATAATTCGAAAAATCCCAACGTAAATATTTCCAATAAATATAATATCAATATTGCGTGATAATAGTTTATTATAAATAATTAATTATTAACATAGTTTTCTCCGTTCCAAGCATTTTTTAAATCACGTCACAGCGTTCATCATCGTTTTTAACCGGAGTTCATGCGTCAAATACGATACTTTTTTTTTTGTATGGAGCATTCTTGCAATTACTTATATTTTTTTTAAATTATAAAGACATATCTATGCATATTTACTGCTCTCGTACGCGTCATGCGTGCACGTGTGAGTGTATGCGTGTGTGTGTGAAATACGAAGATTATTTACAGTAATCGGTTTTTTTTTTTTTGTTTTTGTTTGTATTGTTTTTTTTTAAACGTTTAATGGCGCTCTCACAATCGTCGCGTATATCTAAATAATCACACACTATCTACATCGAATGCACTTTTTCCATTTTGACACTCTTATTAACAAAAATAAAAAAAAAATTAAAATAAAAACAAAGAATTGAAAAAGAACTTTTTGAAAATTTGAAAACTTGAAAATTAAAAAAATAGAAATTAATAAAATGAAAAAATGAAAAGAGGAAAAAAGATTACGTATATATATAAACAAAACATAAGTACGCGCTCAAATTTTTCATATATATATATATATAAATCTTTCTCTTATTCACTCACTCTCTCTCTCTCTTTCTTTCTCTCTTTCTTGATCTCGTTTTTTCTTTTCTTTCAGAAAAGGAATAAAAATTTTCTTAAATCATTTTAAAAAAAAAAATTCTTTGCGCAACTTTTGTAAAAAATAACAAAAACGAACATTAATTCTTTTTTTTAAAAAGAAAGTACAAAAGATAAACACAAACTTGCTTTACAGAGGAAAACAGGAAATTAATTACTTCAAGTAATTAAACTTTTCTTTTTAATTGACTCGATCTTTTCGTTCTCTAAATTTAAAATGTTTCACGAAAATGATCTTGACTTTTTGATTGACGCATTTCAAAAATCGACTCTTCTCTCTTTTCGCGAAAAACAAAATAAAATAGGTATGTAATTGAAAATAAAAAAAAATATGAAACAAAAAGAGACTAAAAATTTAATTTTGTATTTTTTCCCCAAAGAATTAAAAATTTGTCCAAAAGATACAAATTCACTTCTGTAGAAATTTTCAAAATTTGAATTTCACCGAATGAATCGATTAAAAATTAAAAGAAAATTTCCACTGGAAAACTTAAAAGAGGGGGGAAAATTTTTGAAAACTTATCACGATATACGAAAAAGAGAGAAAAGTTTTCTGAAAAATGAATTTTGCAATAAATTTTCCTCCAGTCATGATTTTTTTTTTAAATACACACAAATAGCGACAAGAAATAGAAAAAAATTGTAATAATAACGAAAAAATCTCTCACTCAGCCTCTCTTTTTCTCTCGTCAGTCGATTTTTTTTCACTCACACTCATTGAAAACAAAAAAAAAAGACAAAAACTCGAAGAACGTGTCAATAAAAATCACACATCAATTTTGCTCATCATCGAAAGTTTGAAATCTTCAAATACTCTAGAAATTCGATTTCTTTCTTGTTTTGAAGTTTTTTTTTGACAAAAAGGGAATTCAAGTCAATTTTGGTTTTGTTTCTCTCTCTTTCTCTCTTTAAAAAAAAATAAAAAAAAAAAAACAATGACCTCCGTAGGGTAAAACACTAGTAAATAGACTTTTTAAAATGTCCAACAATCTCATCAACTAACACTCATTAGCTATTCGCACACTTTGGAAACCATCTTCTCCATTTCGACGTCGGTGTCGATCTCGTGATGAACGAGACTCGCGGCACTTGCAGCAGCGGCGGCGGCGGCGGCATTGCTGATGGAGGCGATTGGATTATTGTTGTGGGGTGCGCTTATGGCAGTTGTCGAGGTAACAACTGACGATGGAGGCGAACTTGGTGTACCTGGTGTGCCTGAGAGTTCGATTGGTGAGCCAGGCGATGGCAGCGGTTCCACTAGATCCTCCAGTCCGTCTGGCGTTGGCAGTTTATTTAGTTCTTCTCGCAGTAGCCTATAGTGTCGCTGCAGGGCAAAATTTTCATGTTTTTTGGGGTTTTTCTTTTTTTTAAATTCCGAAATTCTATAATCTATCTTCTATTTTTCAAGGTGGCTATTTCTATTTTTCACTAGCGTTTCATCTTCTGATAATACTTCCCTTTTCGATTAAATTTTCCCAGTAATTTTGATGATTTCAAAATCATTTTTTTTAAATTTCTAATTAAAACTTAAATTTCTAATTAATTAAGTAAAGTTTTCTTTTCTCTAAGTTTTACCCTATTTTTATCTAATTTTATTTTTCAGATTTCTGAACAAGAATTTTTGTTCTTTTTTAATTTCCGTGTGTAATAAAAAATTAGTCGAAGAATTTAAATCAGATTTTCAATTATTAAAAAAGGAATTTTCGCTTTTTTGTAGATATTCTTCAAACGTCGAATTTATTAATATTGTAAACTAAATATTTCCGAATAATATTCGGATGGAAGAAACGCGAAAAAATAATTTAAAAAAAATCCATTTATAAAATTCAAATTCCCATAGTTGGTATTTAAACATAAATAAAATTGAAAAACAAGATAAAGATCAGATTAAATGGAGTAAAAAACAAAATTTTAAATAAAATAGAAAATAAATTGAAAAATAAAATAGAAAACAAAATAAAAAATAAATTGAAAAATAAAATAAAAAAAGAATACAAAATAATAAGTAATAAATTTTGTAAATAAATGTATTAATAGCGTTTTTATCATAATTTATAAATTCTCGCTTCTAAATATAAATAATACGAAAAGGAAAAAAAATACGAAAAAAAGTACAAAAATAATAAAAATACCATAAGAATAAAGTACGAAAAAAAATACGCAAGGAAAAAATACCATAAGAAAAATGTACGAAAAAAGTATACAAAGAAAAAAATACGTTTATCAAATTTTGCGATAAATATGAAAATAAATTTAAAAATAAGTTCTTTAAAAATTCAAGGTTTATATATAAAAAAAAAGGAAAGTAAATTCGTGTCTCTTTCCATAAAAGAAAAAAGAAAACATGATTTTTTTTTGAAGACGCTAGCCACCCTGAATTTTTATATTAGAAAAATACATTTTTAAATGTAGAAATTTAGAATTAATTTTTTCACTTACCCTTAGAGCTAGAGCATTCAGGGAAATTGTTCTGCCTGATCTTCTATCAGCCCCATGCATTTCCATGTCTCGTATCCATCCTTCGATTTGTGCGACAATTTCATGCCTCTTAAGCCAGAAATGCGTGTGTATTACCTGCAAATTAATTTTTATTAAAAAAAATTTTTCAAAATAGTTAAAATAGTATTTTTACTCATGTAATTTTTTCTGTTTTATATTATCAAACTTTTGTTCACTGTTACTATTTTTCTTAAATACAATTTAGATTTTAGATCGACTTTAAGTCGCAAAAAAAGTAATTTTTTAAAATTAATTACTTTTCAGAATCTTTAATTAAAATTTTTCTCTAAATCTATTTTATTTTGAATAAATTTTTTAAAATTCTTTAAGAATTCAATTAAAATTAAAAATTCAAATTCAATTTAAAATTAACCAAAATTAAATCCTTCTTGTTAAAATTAGAACAGTAACTTTTCAAATTTTTAAGGTGCGAAAAATTCAAGGTTTTTATAATATTTTTAAAATTGACCCACAATAAATTATGATTTTATTTCCTACTGGTTTAAATTTTAAAACAATTTAAAATTTTCCATACCTCTTTAAAACAAGGACACGGATTTCGTATTTGGTCAAGCATTGCCCATTTCGCAGTGGCTTGGCAAATATTAGCATTATATTCTTGACTAGATTGAGCGCCACTGGGAGTTCCCCGAGAACGCTCGTATCCTGGCTCGTTGAAATACGGTTCCGAAACCAGAATCAGTGATTGAATTGATACTAAAACCTGCAAAATACATAATAATATTAAATAATTAAATATTGACTTATCTTATTAAAAACAAGAAATAAATTCTATAGAATTCAGAAATATAAATATCAGAAGATTGATTTTAATTTTACCTGGAGAAAACTGCTAGTGTGAGCGTTCCATTTTTCTTCAGGACGACCGTGCCAAGTATTAAGAACACTGAGGCACACTTTACCATCATTGTATAGGTTTGGATTAAATCTAACGGTACGACAGCCAGTTGTCTCTAAATTAATCATCATTGGACTGTTTGGATATTCCGCCGGGAAATAGACATCGAACTCAAAGCAGCCATTCGCGTAGGGAGTTTCTGCTGGTCCGGTTATTAGCACCTGTTGACGAATTTTGACAAAATTTAAATATTTTACAATTTTAATTTTAACTAATTTTGAATTTTAAATATTCAAAAATCGAATTAAATGGAAACAATAAGAAGAAATTTACCTTCATGACATCTAATCTATCGGTATCACATCTGACAAAAACGCTGCTACTGTAGGAAAGTGGCAGTGCCGTAGAAAGGGTGACAGCCTCTTGTGCCAGTCTCTTGACTCTCGTTGGGTGACTTCGCTCACCAGTTGCTCTCATATTCGATTCAAAATGATACGAAACCGCAAATTTGTACCCTCCACCGTCGGGATTCTCCGTTATCATTTCGAATGTATCTGAATATTCAAAATTAAGGAAAATTTAATTATTAACCAACTTATCAATTAATTATTTTTAAATTATTTCCTCAAAAAAATACAATTACTTTTGAAGTGATTTCACTTCAAATTCTGAAATTCGAAAAAAATGATCATCTTACCGAATTGCAGTCTCTTCATAACCTCCAGGTACCTCTGCTCAATGCTCCTCAGCGGCAACTCGGGAGCCGAAGGACTCGGTCCACCTCTCTCGTCATTGATTCCCGTGAGTCTCGCCGTCGCATTCTCAACCACAGTCGAACTCTCCTGAATATCCGAGATCAAAGTCGCCAAACCCTCATCGTCCTCGGAATGTTCCGGATACTTCGGCGTGCTCTTCTTACTGCCCCTCGTTCTATTAATCTTATTCATGTAGGTGTCGACACAAACCCTCATGCTCGACAGCAGCGAGACGATCGACGGATCCGGCGCCTTGTCGCCACTGGGAAGCAGCAACGGTGCCAATTGATACGAAAGCGCCATCGCTCTCAGCAATTGCAGCACAGCTCGGTACAGTGGAATATGTCTCGCCATGTCCAGCACCGAGTCATTCCGCAAGTACGACGACAGAGCCGGTATCAAGCACGACGTCGAGAGCAATTCCGGAAACTGTGCCGGAAGTTCCTTCTGCGGTTGATCGCCAACTCCAATATAGCTCGCGAGTACTTGGAGAAGAACCGTCACGTGCTCCTCCTCGGAGCGTTGTCTCATCAAAGCCTGCTCGACGTTCCAACTTTGCGCCGTTGATCCGGTTCCAAAGCCCGTTCCCTTCGCCCAGTAGAGGTGGGACTTGTCATCACTTCGTCCGGACTTGGTTTCGATTTCGCTCTGTCCGGTCTGGTGGGTAAAGATCGCGAAGCAGTTCAAGAGTAAAAGGACCGCCCCCACGTCGATTATTGTCCTTCTCAACAGAAGGCCATCGTCCGTCGTCGGCGGCGTGTCCTCCAGGAGTTGTTTCAACACCTGAAACGGAAGCGTAGGCAGAGAGGCGGCAATAGGCGAGGTCAGAATCTCCCCACCCTCTCCGTCGTCCGTCACTCCCAGGGCCAATCTCAACAAACACTGCGCCCTCTTCCTGTCCCTCAGCAACACCTCCGAGTACCCCGGCAATCTCAGAAACAATCCAAACGCCGTGAGCGAGTGCGGAGGGACATTGGGCGTCGGAGGCGCGACTTTCGTCTCCGCCACAGGTCCTCCCTCCTCCAAATCGTACTCGTACTCATTCGGCTCGATTTTCACCCACTCGGTGTCGGTCTGCTCAGGCGATGGTGATTTCTCCACAATCGCTGACGGTCGTCCCGAGTCCGGATAGACCAAAGGCAAGTGCTTCGCCAGGACAGCGAGACCACCGCCCGAGCTGAACACCTCCAGTGATGAATCAATGCTCGACGAGTGATTGTAGAGCGGAGATGTTTTCGTGAGATCCAGGTCCTTGGTGTCCTTGCTTCGTTGACGGAGGATCAGGTGCAAACAAGGATCGGAGAGGGAAACACCAGAGTCGGCAGTGAGGGAGAGTAGCTGAGCTATTGTCATGTCGGGCGGCAGAGGAACGTTGGGATGTGACGAGTGTATCAGGTACTGTTGATTGGAGACGTTTGCGTGACTTGTCGCGGCGAGATTGCTAAGGGATTTTGACGATGACGAGGATGAGGATGAAGTGGCGTCAGTGGTGAGACGAGACTTTCGAAGCATCGGGTGTGGAGCTCGTGCTTGCGAACGATTTGACGCTTCCTTTGCTCGCTTATCCTTCGCCGTGTTACCGGCCGCGACGCTCAAACTCCCGGCGACGAGGGACATGTCAGTTTCCCAGAATTCTTTCGGATGATTCATTCCTAAAAAACAGATTATTTATTAATTACTAATATTCCTAAATTTCATAAGGAAATTATTCATTCAAGAAGAACAAGCGACAAAACATTTATTATATAGATGAGAAAAAAATTATTCTTTCCGAGTCAAAGACTCGGAGTCTTTGACTCGAAAAGAATAATTTTTTTCTCATCACAATTATTTTCAAAAATTCTAATAAAATTCAATTATATTCATAAAAAATAAAATTCTTCCAAGGAAAATAATAAAATTCTTGGGAAGAATTCAATTATTTTTATAAATAGTAAAATTCCTAGGAGAAATTCAATTATTTTCCAAAGTTTTAATAAAAGTTCAATTACTTTCAACAATTTTGATAAAATTTTTGAGAGAAAATTATTTATTTTTAAAGTTTTAATTAAATCTTTTCTATTCATTTCAATTATTTTCAAGAGTTTTAATAAAAATTCAACAATTTTAATATAATTCTTAAGAATTTAATGAATATTATTGAAAATAATAAATTGATTTAGAGAAGAATTTTAATTGAAAATTCTAAAAAATAATTGAATTTTAGAAGAGTTGTAGTAAAAATTTAGAGAATTTAGCTAAAAAGTTAATTTCCAATTTTTGAAAATTTCAATTGATAATATTCAACAACAATATTTTAACACTTATTTTAAAGTAATTATTTAATTTTCGAATAAAAGTTCAAAATTCTAAAAGCAGAAAATTAAGAGAAAATCTAGAAGAAATTAATACGTTTTTTTAGCCTTAAATTCGATCGATGGTCTAAAATGAAAAAATTCTGAAACAAAACTCACCGCTTGTGCTCGCTTCACTTCCTTTATTATTCGGCAGCAAAATCAAGAGCCAAGTACCAAACACCTGTTGCAAAATATCAGCGACAGTCGCCTGCGTCGACATGTAAAGTAACTGATGATAATGTCCAAGTGGATGTGCCGGATGTGGCGGTATCACTGGCATATTATAATTAACCACAGTATTTGAATTTTTCATCGGCGTTTCCGAAGTCACCGAGACAAGAACCTTCTCGCCCTCGAGTAAAAGTTGAAGAATCAATCGTCTTGTAAATCCCGAAATTCCATGTAAATAACGTACATTCGGCGGCGTTCTGTGCTGTAGAATCACGTCAGTCAACAATTCAGCCAAAAGTTTCTGATTAGCCGGATGACACCAGCAACACTTGGACAAGAATTTAATCATCGCACTCTCCAACGTTCCATAGGCGAGGCTAGTTTTCGAATTTCTCGACAACGACGTCGAGGGATTTTCAATTGGTCGATTACTCAACAACGACAACAGCGGCAACCAAAAATCACTTCCCTCCTTGCCGAGCCAATCTCTCATTCTACCCTCGGAGCAAACCAACGATAAAAATTCCAGTACCACCGCAATATTTTCCGGTTCCGTCATACAGAGGCCGGAATGATTATTTTGTTGCGTTTCCCCAGCAGCAACTTTATCATTATCAGTGAGACGTGCCTCGCAATTATTCTTTCCCTCCAACGACGATTGACGATTGAATTTCGCCTGTTCAATGACACAAAATTCCGTGATTGTATCAATTAAAAATGAGGGAAGTCCCTCTTGAATGAGTTTTTCGATAATTGTCGGCGAACGGGATACGGCGGCAATTGTCAACAGTTGGCCCTCGCTGAGATTGAGATATCGATTCTCGGTGAGCATGAGACTCGCTGTGAATAGCGTTTTTGCGTTAATGCCACTTTTCGTGTCGTCTGTTTGTATTTCCGTTTCCTTTGTGTCGTCAGAAACTGACGCCGAATGCTGCTGCTGCTGTTCGTCACCACAATAAACTGGCACGAATATTTGCAGTCGTTGAAAGAGCATGAAAAATGCGTTTGGTTGAACGTGACAAAATGCACAGAGAACTGAGTCGACAGCTTCCTTGAGAGCCGAATGTGGATCCAGAACTAGGGTCCATTGAAAGAGGGCGTCGAAGAGACTGTCCGTTAGGAGATTTGATAAATTGTACTTCGGCGGTTCCTGAAAATCAAATGTTAATATTTAGCTTTATTTTTTCATTAATCCACTAGTTAAAAAACTTTTAGGATAACTTTTGATTCAAAAGCCAATAAAATAGTTTTTATTGAAAATACTTGATTATAGTTAAACTTACCAATTGTGACACTTTCCAAATAACAGACGAAATGCAATGAATATAAACAGCCGGCGGTGATGAGCTCTGCGATTGCGCTTGATTCGAGCAATTGCGGGCGACTTCCTCGAGCCACTCAAGCACCGCAGCCATACGTGTCGCGCAATGCGTGTCCTGAGAGCAGCAAAGTTGCTGCAACAATTCAATGACCATTTGCACTGTTGATGTCTCCTGATTCGAAGTGGATGCCTGAAAAAGCGTCGCTGATCGATTGTTTAGAAGCAAATTAATCAGCAATAATCCCAATTCTCGAGAATGCAGTCCTAATTGAAATAGAACACGTTCCAGATTTGATGTGAATAGAGAAGGCGCCGGTAGGAGTAGAAGATTACAGCACGATTCAACGAGTCCCTCCACTGAAGCAGCGGAATTTAGAACCTCTTCGGCGAGTCGCGCATTCATTGCACTAACTGACAAACACTGATGCAATAATCGCAGCCACCCTAGACTTTTCTTTGTCAATTGCTCCTCGTCCAGAGATTCGATTGTTGATTTCGTATCTCCAAATGCGGTCGTTCCTGAAAAAATAACAGAAATAAAAATTTAAAAACTATTTTTGATTTTGATTTCAATTCCAGAATTGACACAAAAAGTTACTTAATTTGTCTTTCTCTGACTTTTTTCCTGATTTCCAGACAAAATTTGCACTTTTCATCTGAAGAATATTCTGATTAACTCTAAAAATTATTAGACACTCAAAAAAATGTTCTATTACATTTATTTACGAATTTCATTAATTAGAAAATTATTCCAAAACATAAAAAAGTTCTTTTTTAAATAAATATTTAATTAATATTATTTTTCAATAGAAAATCAGATTTTCAAAACATTCAAATTCAAATCTTTTTGAAATTCAACAACATAAAAGAATATTTATTATAAAACATGAAGAAAGCGATCACTTCGAGTCTTCGACTCGGAAATTTGCGAACAAGTAAATTTTCAATTCAATTTCAATTCAATTCTAATTCAATTTTTACCAATAGAGAAAATAGAAAATAAAAGAGTAAATAAAATAATTTGCCAACAAGAAAATAAAAGCCCTTACCGAGAATTTGAATGTTGCTCAAACTAATATCCGGTGAGTCTTTCGGTTTATAAAGTCGGACGAGAACGGCAGTGGCGACTTTTGGTTGAGAAAGAGTAATTTTAATGAAAGTCAATCCAGCAGTTGACATTGGTGGACAAACGGGAGTCATTGCTGAATTTGCTTCGCGTGCAATTTCTAAAGCGACGGCCGAAGGACACGTCGCCAATGAAGTGACGTGTGGTTGGAGTTCAACTTCCTTGAGTAAAATTGCACATTTCAATGTTATCGTGAGATCGACCCATGCCTCGTCCGGATAGAAATGATATGTCCACGCGGCCGTTCGCGTTCTTCTCTGTGGCGTTGGACTCTGTATTAGAACATCGGCCGGCTGTGCTGTTGAATTAACCCAAGTGATTGTTCCAAGTGGTGCGAAATTCACTAAACCACTACCGCTACTACTGCTGCTGCTACTTCCACTTGACGAGGCGATATTTGGTGTATTTGAAAGATGTTGCATGACGAGGGCGATAACACCAGGTGACGCGTATCCACCCTCGTTATTTGCCTTACTCGATTTCACCAGATTCTCACAAAGTACTTTAACACCTCCCATTCCGGTGAAAATTGCCAATGATGTTTCATTGTCGAGAACGCGGAGAATGTACCAGAGAAGTGGCTCTGAGAGTTGCATCATTCCCAGCTGACGACTTAATGTCGATTTTCCACATGCTGCAAATAGAGAAAAAATTTTAAGAATCAAAAATAATTTTTTTTTCAAATGTAAAGGCCTCGGATCGACTGTAAGTCGAGATCTCTTTGAAAAAGTCATATTATCCTAGGCTTGAACAAGCAAAAATGATTAAAGATAATGATAAAGATTAATTAGAAAGAGATCTACTTTTTCTAATTAATTAATTTTAAATTAATAAATTAAATTTTAATCTACTTTTAAGAGGGTGTCTAAGTCGATTGTATTTTTTCATTGAAGCTCAATCTAAAAATCCAATATACTTAGGCACAAATTCTAATGAAAAAAGGAAAATGAAGAAAAGATTCTAACTTACAAGAAGCAAGGTACTGATTAACAGGATTCAACACCAAAGTAGGACTGCTCGCCTTCTTGGTGAGTGTCGAGAGCAATTGAAAAGTCGCATCGGGAATTGACGGCGGATCACCGAGATCTGCCGTCGCCTTACTAGCCGAACTATCGCCAAGCAACATAGCCAAAGATGAACCCGTACTATGACCTAGTGCACCCAACAATCTCATCATCGTCGGCTCATGCTGCAGAACCGTGTCAGCCACACACGGCACTCTCGGTTTCGGTGTTCCACTCTGTTGTTGCTGTTGCTGCTGCTGCTGTTGTTGTTGCATTCTCATCGACGACGTCTGCTGTTGTTCCGCAACTTTACTCTCGTCCGTCTGCGAAGTGTTCGTCGAAGTCTGCGCCTCCATTTTCCCACTGCTACCACTACCACCACCACCACTTCTCTGAGAATTCACCAGTTCACCAAGTTCCATTTCCGTCATCGAGTCAGTTCGCACACTCCTCACACTCGGCAGTGGCGTTTGAACCAAACGACAAACGAGTTTAATGAGAGCAACAATCAGAGAATCCCAGGAGGCGGGACGATTTTGTCGCGCGTCACCACCAAGAACGCAGGCATAGAGTCCACCGAAGTTATTCGATGGATTCGATGAATCGACGAGTCCACGACATTGGGCCTCGACGCCGTAACCTCGCACATAAGTGGAAACAAGTTCGCTGACACATTCGGTGATGCTCATTGCTGTTCCAAGATCCGTGTGGGTGAAATTTAAATTCAGAAGGGATGTGATTAGTTTGCATTGCGCGTCGAGTGGTCCACGACGAACTGCCAATGGTCCGCCGGGTTGGACCAGTTGATAGACGAGCCAGAGGAGCAATTCCTTCAGGGCATTGCCCAAGGTACTTCCGGGAGTTATTACATCGCACCAGAGTTCCAGGCGCACCAAAAAGTCCTGCAGCGCTTGACAAACTATTGGTCCAGCCTACAAAAAAGTACACAATTAATGTTTGAATTTTTAAATGAATTTGAACAATAAATGTAATTAAAATAATATATTTAATTTTCTGTATCTACTTCAAGAATCACTGTGTCTTATGACTAAAGTTACAAAAAATTAATAATTGCAATGAAACGCACCATTCCGTATTGTTTGTCGGATGTATCGGCATTGAGACCACTTCCAGACAAGAGCCTGAGAAGCATTGGTCCCATATTTCTTTCCTTGACAATGCAACCGGCCATTCCGCCCAAAAGTCCATCAAGTGGTGTACTGCAGTTCGCAGCTTCTGGCGCATCAGTTTGCAACGGTTGATTACTTGCCAGTGTTAAACACTGCAATGCGTGGCACCAAGCTCTCAGCGAAACACAAGAATGCCAAGAAAGTACCGAAATTATCCCCGAAATCGCCGTTGAACTCAGTGGAATAACTGGCGTCAACGATGTGTCAAATTGAGACGAATTACTTAATTCTGTCGATGCGTCTAAATTCAACGTCAACCAGAGTTGCAGAACCAGCTCGAAACTCGTTCCATCTCGCTTCAATCAAAAAAACAAAATCAGTCTCAATTAATTTTACACTTTCTTGTTTTTAATTCTAATTCAAATTTTTTAAATGAATTTTTTTTTTAATCTACTTCTGTAAATAGAAGCCGATTTTTCAAATAAGAAAACTACTTTTCTTTTTCTTACCTGAATATACATTTCGGAAAAAATTTTATCGAAACAACGCGTAAGCATCATTAAACTCGAAGGAACGGTATCATTTGAATTCCAAGTCTCCTGCGTTCGTTCGTTCCAGCCAGGATTTTGCCTCGAAGTGCCCGATTGTGAATTTCGTGTCGAATCCGAAGGAGGAACCTGAAAATTGAGAATTTTTCCAAATAAATTAATTTTGTAATACGTCCCTATAGCTATAATATTAAAATAATTTTTTTTTATTCCCACTTCTGGATTTTCACTCACGAAGAAACTTACGTTAATAGTAGCGTTTAAACTGAGAGGCAAATTATAAGCGCCAAGTGTGGAGAGTCTTCTCAAAGCGATTTCCACCGCAGTTTCAACTCCATACTCCAAACGTGCGTCCACCGCCAAGGAGACAAAAGTCCTAGGGCGAGAAATCCTAGAATTACTCCTTCAGTTAGAAGTATTTTTTAAAAATAACGTTAATAAAAGCATTTCAAATATTTCACCAAAAAAAAAGATACTAAAGAAAGCTTCCTCAATAAGAACCAAAACTAATTATAAAAAAGTTTAATTAATTTTAATTAAAAGTATAAAAAATTTTAAAAAGTTTTAATTTTAAAAAAGTTAAAAAAATAATAATAAAAAAGTATCAGTAAATACCAGGAACTTGAAGACGAAGGATATTTCGGAATGGTTCCGCCTTTTTTCATGATACTTTTTCCACGCTCGAGAATATCGTCAAGATAAATCTCCAGTTCACTGTCGTCAGATTCGAAGAGTGAGGGAAGACTGAAACCATTTGATTTCGAGGTTGACGCATTAGGTGGATTCACGACAATACTGTCCTGTGTATCGTCATCGCCATCCGCAAAGCCCTCGTCGGCGCCCAAAGTGCTCGACGAGTTACTTGTTCCAGCAACCGGTGCCGGTTCCTCGTCATTACTGCCCCTCGCCTCCTCTGCGCCAAGTAGATCGAATATTTCCTCCGACGGACTCGCTTTATGTGCATTTGTCAATCTTGGATACAATCTTCCACCTGGAAATTAACAAAATTGTTGAACCAAAAGAAAATTCCATTTTAAAATTGTTTTAATTTAAATAATTGACATTAATTAATTAAACAGAATTTCGAATCAATTTGAATATTATTTATTTAACTATTTTATTTAATTACGCAAAACAAGGAGAATTTCAATTCTCCTTAAAATTCGATTAGATTAATTTTAAAAACTTAATTTAAATAACTTATTTTCAAGGAAGCTTTCAAAAATAGCTTTTAAGTGAAATTATAAATATATTTTTACTAAATTAAAGTATATTTTGTAAAAGAAAGAAAAAATTAAAAAGAAATTTAAAGGAATTTAGAGGAAAAAATTCACCTTCGAGAAGATCTTGCAGTAAACAGGAAACTGCGTGAATCGACCAAGCAGTGTCCGACGCTCCAGTTGCTAATTTTACGAGTTTTAAAAGTTGTTCCTCTGTCATGAGTTCGCCCAAACTAATTGCAGGTCGCGTGGAAATTACAAGCCTCGCGACTACCTATTTTTGTTACAAATTAAAAGGAAAGAAATAGTAATTAAAAATTAAATCAAAATAAATTTAAAATTATATCGACACTTGTAAAATAAATAATTCTATTAATTATTATTGAAAGATAATAAAAATGTACCTTGCAAGCCAGGAGAAACATGTCCATGTTTGAAGAATTATTTATAATTAAAGCAACGAGTCCTCTCGCCACTGGTAAAACATTCTGATGCGATAGATTTGTCGTGTAATCAACTTCTGGTTCATTATTACTCTCCGTTCTACTGTCAAGAAAAAAAAGTAATTCCTTTTATTTAATTAATTCTAACTATAAAAAAATTACAAATATTTTAATTTCAAACTATAAAAAAAGAAACAAAAATTCAAATTAAAAAATTTTCACCGAAATAGATCGAATTTTTGACACTCTAATCAGAAAACAAATGAAATAATACAAAAAATGTTTTAAATAATACAAAAAAGAATTTAAAAAATTTAACAGAGTTGACACAAAAATTTAAATTTTGTCTTTCCCGGACTTAGGGGCCGTCCATAAACCACGTAGCCCCATTTTTTGGGAATTTTGACCCCCCCCCCTCCCCCCATGTAGTACGCTATTACATGTATTAGCGCCATTTTTTCCTCTTGTCGTAGTCAATTGCTTGACCCCCCCTCCCCCTCAAGAGGCTACGTGGTTTATGGATGGCCCCTTATCCCTGAATTATAGAGAAAATTTTTGACCTTTTCCCTAAAAAATATTTTGATTCACTCTAAAAATGATTAGACACGCAAAAAATGTCCCAATACATTTATTTTCGAATTTCTTTAATTGTAAAATTATTTGAAAACATCAATAACTTCTGTTTTTAAATAAATATTTAATTATGATTACATTTTCACAACAATTAAGATTTTAACTAAAATTAATTTTTAAATAAATTTTTATTACAAAATTCTACGGAAATTCAATTATTTAAATACAAAAATAAATAATTTATTGAATAATTGAAGATTTTTTAAAATTGAATTCTCATTAAGAATTTCATTAACAAATCTTTAAAGAACTGAATTCTTTTGACGAGTTTTAATAAATAATAATTATTTTATTTATTTTTATTCAAATTATTTTAATCTTGTGTTTAAAATTTTTTATAAATATTATAATTTTTATAATTTTTAATCTGAAATAATTGAATGATTGCTTAAAATTTTAATAATACTTTGACAATAATTATATTCTACGGGGCAATTTAATTAAAATTCTATTCAAAAGAATTGAATTCTCATAAAAAAATTTTGAAATTTTTGAAAATAATTGAATTCTTTAGAGAAATTTTATTTAAAATGTATTGAAAATAATTGAATTCTGACGAAGAATATTATTAAATTTTTTAAAAATAATTGATTTTCTGGGAAAAATTTTATTATTGCTAAAGATAATTCAATTCTTGGGAAGATTTTTTATTCAAAAATCTTTTAAAAAATATTAGTTTTGTAAAGAATTTTATTAAAATTCTTGATAATAATTCAATTTCTGGAAAGCATTTTACTAATTTTGAGATAATTGAATATTAAAAAACATTAGTTTTGTAAAGAATTTTATTAAAATTCTTGATAATAATTCAATTTATGGAAAGAATTTTATTAATTTTGAGATAATGGAATTCTTGGGAAGAATTTTATCAAACTTTTTAAAAATAATTGAATCATTCTGAAAAATATGATTTAAATTTTTTTTTAAATAATTGAATCTTGTTGAGAATTTCACTAAAATTATTAAACAATAATTGAATTGTTTCGAAGAAATTTATGGAAATTTTTGAAAAAAATTAAATACCTTAGAGGAATTTAATTATAATTATTTTGAAAATAATTAAATGATTATGAAGATTTTTGTAAAATAATTGAATTTTTTTTGGTAAATTTTATTAAAATTGAGAAAAATTCTTTAAAATAATTAAAAATTTGCCAAGAATTTGAATAGAATTTTTAAAAATAATTGAATTTCGGAGAAGGATTTTATTATTTATAAATTTTGACGAGAATTTAAAAAAAATTTTGAACATAATTAAACTTTTGAACAATTATTTCCAACTTCTCAAAAATTCAATATTTTTTTTGGTGTTTTTAACTAAAATTCTTCAATAAATCCATTATTTTTAATAATTAATTAAATATATATATTAAAAAATTTAACTAATTTCAGAAGACTTTGAATTATTATAATAATAAATTTTAATAAAAAATTGTTTGTCATTTCATACCGTCCACTTGGATGTGTTGGAATTCGTGAACTCCGCGATGAATAAAGTTCATTGCTCATTGAGAGTAAATCCTTGATGTGTTTCACGGAATGTTGTTTGACTGTTTTCTTGAAAAATCGTTCCTGCGATTTTAAAGCAGCCTCGAGTTTACTCGACAATGTCGCCGCTTGCGATGATAATGCCGATCGTGCCTGCGACGTTGCTTGAAATGCCTTTTTTGCTTGCTCAAAATCTTGAAGTTGCTGCTTGTGATGCATTAAACGCTTCTGCAATTTTCTCTTGTGATTCGTGCAACTCGACGATCTATTTGATTTCGAGTATTTTCGCTGCATTGACGATTCCCCATGAATGAAATCCCATCTCGACGAGAGTCCTATTTAAAAAAACGTAATTTAAAACAAATTATAACAATAAAATAAATAAATATAAATAATATTTTTCTTTCTTTTCGAATAAAGGATTAATTTAGTAAATTAGATATATTTAAATATTTCTAATTTACTAAATTCTGTTTAGTTTTTTTCTTTAATTAAACAAAGTGTTTTTGTCATTAATTTTTTTGTGGCTGAGCTCTTTAGAATTTTGCACTGACCTTGTTCTTTGGTTTTCTCATGATTGTCGTCAAGATACTGGGAATGTGAAGCGGTAGTGTCTAAGCACACGGAGAGGAAGAGAAGGACCCAACTAATGAGTGTTGTGTCGAGTTGATTTGAACTGGATTGCTCCCGATTGGAAATTGGGGCCAGAAGTCTACCAAGCGTACGGACCATCGCGTCAATAACCGATGATTTGTTTGCGCCCGTTATCAGTGATTTTCGTCCGAGGAATGTTAGTAAAATGAAGACCCTGTAAAATGATTTCAAGCTTAGAGGAAAAGTCCAAAAATACAACAAATACTAGAACAATATTATTATTTTTCTTTAAATTATTAATACTAAAAAATTATTTTCTACTTGTTATTTTTTCTATTTATATTTAAATTCTTATTCTGTTAATAAAGTGATCATTAAATGAATTTGGGGGTAAATAAAAAAATTAAATTTTCAAAGTATTAGAAAAGCTTTCAAATGGAAAAATTGTTTCTTAATTTTTATTATTTTGTTATTGTTCTTTTTATTTTGTTTTTTTTACCTGTCTTGAGGGAAAATGTGGGTAGACGAGGCCGTGAATAGTGTCGTGAGTGTATTGGCGAGGAAATTTCCCCACCACGGTTGATGTCCGGCCATTCGTGCAAGTAATGCGACGGCATGAAGCTGTAGACGAGGTGCCGGAGTTACGACGCAAATCGATTTGAAAAGTTTCTCGCAAATCGTCGGCGTGAACGCTTCGTACAAAGTTGCCGGAACCTGGACAGAACACGCATTTAAAAAATATTAATTAAGAAGCTACTATTAAATACAAAAAAAAATAATTAGAAAGATATTAATTAAAAATCTACTATTAAATACAAAAAAAAACTAGTTAGAAAGATATTAATTAAAAAAGTACTATTAAAAAGAATAGAAAGATATTAATTAAAAAGAAACATAAAAACTAAAAAGGGTGAGTGATAAATTAAAAGAAAAGAATCTTACGCTTGGAACGGGTCCAATTTCATAAACGGTGTACAATAGAATGTCTAGCAAAGTTTCTCCAAGTATTTTCAATTTATCGCTGGAAGCACTTGCCAAGGAGCTCGATGGCGTATTTCGAGGTCCTCTCCACGACTCCAATCGTCTCCACACTCCACGAACGACATTCAATTGATGTTGGAACATAATGCATTCCTTGAATAAAGAAACATTCATTAATACTTTATAATTCTTTATTTTGTTTAATCATTTAATTTAGTTTATTTATTTTCATTTTATAATATCCTATTATAAAATGAAAATGATTAATTTTAATTTATAAAATAAAGTTAAAGAGAAGAATGACACGAAAATTAAATTAATAAAATAGTTTCTGAATTTTTCAACAACAACAAAAAATTAAAAAAACAATTATTATAATTTCTCAAAAAAATAATAAAAAACGACGATTATTATAATTAAAAAACTAAAATAACTTTTTTATAATTGCTAATTTTACCTGATATGTCGCGAGAATTTTCGCTGATGGTTGTTCCTTGCTCTCTGACGAGTTTTTATTCTGAGAGAGATAATGTTGCATGTGAACGACATTTGGTGTCTCGGTACAAAGAAGAGGATCCAAAAAGCTCTTGAGTTTCTCAGTCGCCAAACTGAATCTGAAAAAAAAACAAGAAAACGACCTTAAATTCAGAACAAGTTTCAAAAAATTGAATATCTTGAATATTGAATATAAGAAAAATTTGAATTTGAAAAATATAGAATTTAAAAAAAAATTATTTTCTTTATAAATAAAAAATAATCAAATACCTGCACTGAACATCTTCGGCAAGAGCCGACAAAATTTGACATTGTGATTCAACTGTCGCTTGCATATTGGCCTCGGTTCCACTGAGACTTGATTGACTTGCCTTCAATTCTGAATAATCCTCACCCGGTAAAATCACCAAGTGACCATAAAACATTCCCAGCGGAATTTTACATCTCGTCACTGTCATTCCATATCTACCAATCATCGTGATCTGTAGAGAAAAATGAAAACAAAACTGAGAATTTTGCAGTTTTCTTTTTTTAATTTTTGATTAAGTTGTATGTCAAACGAGTTCGTTAAATTAAAAAAATATATAATTGTAAAGAAATTATCTAAATTAAAAATTAAATTAATTTTTAAATTCTAAATAGCACGAACCTTAAGATATCTGCAAACCGGTGGTGGTTGAAGATCGCTGATCACGAGTGGTTTATAGCCAATGTCACCGGCAACGGCCAAACGTGTTCCATCCAATTCCTCGCTTTTGTTCCAAATATCAATAGACAACGATACTAAATCAACACACGATGGAATCATCAAATCAGTGAGTAAAACAGACGATCCAAAATCAAGAATGACAAATCTTCTCGCTCCCGAGTGCATTCTTTCAACAACCAAAGCTTGTTGCGGTGGCCAACAAAGTAATCTTCCCCAGGGAAAGTAAATCTCGTCTCTCTGAAAGAGAATTTCATAAAAAAAATTTAATTATAATAATAATAATAATAATATTTATAATAATGATAATAATAATAGAAATAAAAATAATTAATTCATTAATAATTAATAAACTAAAGTATTAATTAATTAATACTAAAAACGTAAAAAGCAGAAATATTTAAAAATAAAAATATTTCACTTTTAAATAATTTAACATCTTTTTCTTAAACTTATCCATTGTCAAATTTAGAGAAGCAAAAACATTCTTTTTGTGTGAAAATAAGCAGGTACATTTTTATAATCACCATAGAAAATAAATAAAAGTTTTAAATTATAATTAAGATAATCGCTGACAAAATAAATTCGGTTCCTTAATGCAAAATTAAAAATTGAAAATATTCAGACACCTCGATTACGAAATACCCAAAAATTTGTTAGTAGTTTTAAAAAAAATAATGTTTAATGATGAAAATTGAAAAAAAGATAAGTAAAAGATGTCGATTTGCTTTCCTAAAAAAAATACAATAAAAAGAAATAAACCTCTAAGAAATAAATTAAAGCTGAAAAAAGTGGTTGGAGAGTTTTTTGCAATATTATTTATACGAAAAAATAAGCTGGATGACCATGTGAAATTAGAAAACAAGAATTGAAGAAAATTGTTTCATTTTTAATATCAAATGGTTCATCGCTGATTAAACAACTAATTGCGTGCGAAGGAAATAATATATTGAATAACGAAATAACGAAATTCCATAAAAAACGGAAAAAAAATATGCAAAATCGGATTTCTTTTTGATTAAAATCAGTTTTTGCAGTTAAATCAGATTTAATTTGAATTAAATTTTTTACATTTTCCATTCACTATTTTACTTTTTTCCACCATTTCACTATTATATATTTATTTATTATTTTGTCTATATACTATTTTTAAAATCTTATTAAACAAACCCGATTTTGTTTATTTAAATCTTGATTTAAATTTCACAGTATTAAATTCACTTCTTCTAATTAAAATCTGATTTTATTTATTTACTGAAATCAGTTTCTAATTCAAATCCGATTTTTTCTTCACCAAAATTAAAAAAAAATCCGCTCAAATAAAATAAAAAAAAGAACAAAATTCGATTCAAAGCAATGGTCTCACAATTGCAGGGTTGCCACAAAAATTTAATTTTGTTTTTCCCTGATTTTCCAGACAGAATTTTAACATTTTTCCTGACACTACAAAAAAATTCTGATTCACTGAAAAAAAATATTAGATTTAAATCTTTAAAATTAAATAACTTATACAAATATTGTCACTGTGACTTCATCAAAATTATTTTCATCATTTCAATTCCATTCAAATTTTTTGAAAATAATTAAAATTCTTTGAAGAATTTTATTATTTATGGAAATAATTAAATTATTTGAAAAATGTTTCATTAAAATTCCATTCAAAATAATTGAAAACCTCTGAAGAATCTTATTATTTATGAAAATAATTTAATTCTTTAGTAAATTTTCATTAAATTAAAATTTAAAATAATTGGATTTTTCTAAAGAATTGTATTATTTATAAAAATAATTAAAATCCTGCAAAGAATTTTATTTTTTATGGAAATAATTAAATTTTTAGGAAGTATTTAAAAAAAATTTTTGAAAATAATTGAAATTTTCAAAAGAACTTTATTTTTTATGAAGATAATTGAATTTTTGAAAATAATTGAAATCCTAAGAAGAATTTTATTAATTATGAAAATAATTAAATTTCTCTAAAGATTTTATTATTTAAAGAAATAATTGAATTTTTCGGGAAATTTTATTAAAATTCTATTTAAAAAAGTTAAATTTCTTTGAAGAATTTCATTATTTATGATAATAATGAATTAATAATAATGAATTATTTAGAAAAATTTTTATCAACATTTTTGAAAATAATTGAATTTTTTTTGAGAATTTATCTAAAATTGTTATTGAAAATAATTGAATTGTTTCGAAAAATTTTATGCAAATTTTTGAAAATAATTTAATTCTTTCAAGGAATATAACAAAAATTTGGTTAGAATATAATTGAAATTTTTCCAAGAATTTTATTCAAATTTTTTATTATAATTAAATTTTGACAAAAAATTTTTTATTTATAAAAAAATTTAAAATAATTGAATTCTTAACGAGAAATTTTAAAAAATGTCTGAAAATAATTGAATTCTTCAGAAGAATATGATTAGTTTTTAAAAATAATTGAATCCTGTTTGAGCATTAAACTAAATTTTTTGAAAATAATTTAATTGTTCCGAAAAATTTTATGGAAATTTTTAAAAATAATTGAAATTTAACGAAAAACTTTGCTATTTATAAAAAAATTAAGAATAATTGAATTCTTTTAAAAAAATTGTTTAAAATATATTTGAAAATAATTGATTTTTGGCGAAGAATTTTGCTACATATTTATAAAAAATTTAAAATATTTCAATTCTTATCAAGAAATTTTAAAAACATTTTAAAAATAATTTAACTTTGCGAAAAATTTCATTACTGTGGAAAATAATTGAATTCCGAAGAATTTTTATTAATATTAAAATTATTCAAAATACAAAGTTCTTTCAAAACTCTAATTAAATTCATTTAAAATTGAAATTTTCTAAAATTTCAAATTTAAATCTTTTGAAATTGATTTATTTACGAAAATTGTAAACGCAGCTCATAAAAAGTTCAATTATTTTTGAAATTTTCAAATAAAATTATTCATTAAATAATTTGCTTTTAATAAAATTCCCTGACTTCTCCGTAACGTCCCCGATGAAATTCTACATTCCCTAACTTTTCCCTGAATTTTCCCGATTTTCCTGAAATTGTGGCAACCCTACAATTGTAAAAGAAAAATAATTTTCTCTTTTTGTTTTGTTTTTTTTTTTTTTGAAGAAACGAAGCAAAAAAGGAAGAAAACAAAAAAAGAAATAAAAAGGTAGAAAGTTTTTATCCACGTGAACAAAAAAACTACCTTTTTTGCACAGTTGTCTTCGTTTTTGCTCGTCGAGGTACCAATATTCATACCCGAGGATTTTTCTTTAGCAATAGTTGAATCTAACACGTGGGAGCTATCATTTTGAAGAATGTGCCAGTATTGTGCTTCATCGGGCATACTAACTTCGTCACTGATTGACCGATCATCGGGCGTCAGCGAAAGATGTACCGTTGGCTTCTTTGTTATTTCAGCTTTACAATGATTTATTAAATTGCCATAGAAAGTTGTAAACTTAGCCTGAAGATCTGGTCCGAGCGAGCCATCATCCAAATTCTATAATGGACAAGGATTCGCAACGATATTTTTCTCTTTTTTTTCCTTTTGCTTTTTCATTTTCTTATTTTCTTATACACAGAGATACTCTATAACTAATCTACTAATGTGCTCCTTAATTGACTAAATTATTATATTTATATAAATAATTCGTCACAAAAATCGATAACTAAATTTTATTTTAATTATTTATTATAAAAATAAAAATGTTTCGCAATTTTCTAACCGGGAAAAAGAGAACCAATCTTGGAAATTCATTCTTTCATTAACTTTACATTTATTTTTCAATCAATACTAATTAGCTGAAGCAATTAAATTCATTAGCTAATTAAAATACTTGTTAATGACCGAAATAATTAAATTTTCAAGTTTATTACCTATTCTCTTCTTCTAAATGAACGAAATTAAAAATTTTATTAATACTTCTTTGCGAATTTGAAATGCGCGCAGCATTTGGTGTAAGTTTCTTAAATAGACGGAATTTTGTGTCGCTATCATTCGAGAATTGCGGTAAAATTGAATTTTAAATTATTAACTTACATATGAGTGTTGAATTATTTTGATTCCAAGACCAGAATTGAAACCACTTCCTGGATGTGGACTGTCGTAAATGATTGGCGCCATATTCACAAGATTGTTCGCTCCAGTGTCGATTTTTTCCATTTTCGTTCCGTCCGAAGCGGCGTGACACGTAAAGTGCAAGGGCTCAACCTTTTTATTAATTACATTAATTAAATTAATAAATCATTCAAGTTAAAACATATATCGTCCATCTAATAAATCAGTTGCCACAAATTGAGTTTTTCAAAAAATTAGTTTAGCAAAATTGTTAATTAAAAGTATGGAAAATTTAGATTTTCAAATATTTTAATTTGAAACCTTTTCAAAATTCAAATATTTCTACAAATTGCAATTATTTATAACTTCTCCGAAATTCAATTATTTTTTTAGAGTTTTCAACTACATTCATTCTCTAAATCAAATATTTTTAATAATTAAATATAATCAGGATTCCTACGGAAACCCGAATTTAAAATTCCATACCTTTTCCATGATTTCCAGGTCAAATTTTTACGAAATTCAAGTGGAATTTTAAATCTAATTTCATTATTTTTAGGCTCTTTAAAAACACTTTACTTATTTAATAGTCTCCGCCCTTTGGTAAAAAATCTAAAATTATCAAAAATTCGAAAAAATTCAAAAAACCGAATTTCTTAAAATTCAACATTTTTTCCTCTTTTTTATGGGATTTAGCTTCATTATTTTTGTGCTCTTGGAAAATACTTTACTTATTAATTAGTCTCGACTTTTTGGTAAAAAATCTAAAATTGTCAAAAATTATCAAAAATTCAAAAAACCGAATTTCTTAAAATTCAACATTTTTTCTCCTCTTTTATAGCATTTAGCTTCATTATTTTTGTGCTCTTGGAAAATACTTTACTTATTAAATAGTCTCGACTCTTTGGTAAAAAGTCTAAAATTCTCAAAAATTCAAAAAACCGAATTTCTTAAAATTCAACATTTTTTCCTCTTTTTTATGGGATTTAGCTTCATTATTTTTGTGCTCTTGGAAAATACTTTACTTATTAATTAGTCTCGACTTTTTGGTAAAAAATCTAAAATTGTCAAAAATTATCAAAAATTCAAAAAACCGAATTTCTTAAAATTCAACATTTTTTCTCCTCTTTTATAGCATTTAGCTTCATTATTTTTGTGCTCTTGGAAAATACTTTACTTATTAAATAGTCTCGACTCTTTGGTAAAAAGTCTAAAATTCTCAAAAATTCAAAAAACCGAATTTCTTAAAATTCAACATTTTTTCCTCTTTTTTATGGGATTTAGCTTCATTATTTTTGTGCTCTTGGAAAATACTTTACTTATTTAATAGTCTCGACTCTTTGCTAAAAAATCTAAAATCTTTAACAGTATTGAAATTATAAATATTAAATATCAGTTTTAAAACTAGTTGAATGTCTGCGAAGAATTTTTTTACTTTTGAAAATAATTGGATTTTGCTATTTATAAAAATAATTGAATTTTTGACGAGATTTTCGTTAAAATTTCTTGTAATAAAAATTTTTATTATTTTTAAAAATAATTGAACTTTGCAAAGAATTGTATTAAAATTCCTGCAAATAATTAAATTTCTGTAAAGAATTTTGTTATTTAACAAGATAATTGAATTCTTTTGCAGAATTTGGTTATTTTACCAGATAATATTGTATTCTTTCGCAAAATTTTATTATTTAATAAGATAATTGAATTCTTTTGAACCCATGGCAATTCTGGAAATTAAATAAATAAAATAAAAAGAAAGTCAAACCTCGAGAAGTCCTTTCATGCTATGATTAGCGCTCAATGTCTTGAGATAAAGTTTACTCGGCACAATTGTTTCACTGGAATGTGATGGCAATGTGAGTAAATCTCGCAAATCAATCGAGTCCTGTGAATGATTCGATGTCGTTGTTGTAATTGACGTGATTGTTGGCTCGCCGGAAACTGCGCTCGCATATGTCACTGGCGTTGAACTGAATTTCGGCGGCACCGGTGGATCCATATCGAATAATTCCGTTTCAAACGGCGAATTATAGAGGCCAAATCTTGTCGCCAGCAATAAATGATGTGGATTAACACGATTTGACATTTCCGTTGCAATTTGTTGCATTAGAGTTATACATTGTTGAGCGATACTGTGATTACGATCGAGTGGCAATAATCGTGTAATGAGAATTGCAAACCAACGAAGAGAGCCGGCCCATTGTACATTGACAATTGATGGTAACAATGTCACGCAAACTGCAAGTACAGCCTCCTCAAAGGAATGTGGCAATGGATCGTCTAAATTGTGAAGTCCTCTGCGAAAAAAAAGTAAGTAATTGAATATTTTACACAATTTGGGAAAAATTTCAGAAAAAAACAGAAAAATTTTTTTAAAAAAAGAAAAAGAAGAGAAAAAGGAAGAAGAAGAGGAGAAAAAATCTTACTCGCTGCACAAGACGATGAGTTTTATGCACTTGTGTGAAATGCTTCGTCCGGCATACAAGAGACAAGTGCGTAATAAAACTGAAAGTTTTGCTTGAACACAGCGCACAGTTTCCAGTTGCATTGCCTTTGTCTCGACGCTATTTTGACAGGTTCGTAGTCTCGTCAGTCGTATTGCCACCACCCAAATAAGAATATCAAGAGCTATCGACTGCGTAATTGATGACCTGAAATTAATTTCAATCAGCATAAAATATTAATTTTTCTTTTCTTTCTTTTTGACAAAATCCATTTATAATAAAATAAAAAAGAATAATCCACAAGTTTTGAACGCTGAAATGAACGAAATATTTGTTTTATTAAAAATATTTTTCTAATTACTAATTGCAATAATTGCTTAAATTTTACATTAATAAACTTTATAATTAATTTTTATGATAGTGACACAAAATTATTGCAGCGAAAACTTCATTTGAAGAAGAAATAAATAAATTCCGTTCATTTGAAAGTTCATAACTTTAGGATCATACAAAACACAATATAATACAATAATATAAAAGAAAACATAAATTAATTATTTGTACTCACTTGTCTGTAGTCTGTAGACAAGCGACAGACAGAAGATTATTGATAAACTGTTTCGATTCTAACATTGCACATCGTTGTATTCTCTCGTGTGGAATATTTGTGGGCAAAACTTTTCGCACGCTTATCGAAATTTCGTGAATCCAATCGCAACCTACAAAAGAAGAATTTGATGATTTAATGTCAATTCTTAAATATAATTTTTTTTCTTATAATGATAATATAACTTCAATTCTAAATTTTTGCGCGAAATTCAATTATTTTGTTAATTTTAATTTCAAACTCTAGAAAAATACATTTAAAAATAATTTCTAAAAGTAAAAAATAAAATGTTTAAAGAATACAAAATTTATTTTAATTACATTTGACAAAGTTTGCAAATTGGAAATTTAATTTAATTATTCGAAAAATTTACTTAAAATTATATTAAAAATAATTGAAATCCTGAAAAGAATATTAATATAATTTTTTTTTTGATAATTGAATTTAAAGGAAGAGTTTTCATTAAAAAATTTTCTAAATAATTAAAGTTCTGCAAAGAATTTTATTATTTTTGAAGATAATAATTGAATTTTTGCCAAGAATAATGAAAATTATTGCATTCTGGTGAAAAAAAAATTATTCATAAAGATAATTGAATTTTTGGGAAGAATTTGATTTTAATTGTTAACAATATTTTAATCTTGTTGAGAAATTTTACTAAAATTATTGAAAATAATTGAATTGTTCAGACGAAAATTATGAAAATTTTTGAAAAGAATAAAATGCTTACGAGGAATTGAATTAAAATTTTAATGAAAGTAATTAGAACCTTCTAAAGAAAATTATGAAAATTTTTGTAAAATAATTGAAAAATTTTCTATTAATTGCAATTTAGTACAATTTTTTGGAAAATAATTTAATGTTTTCAAAGAATATTTAAGTAAGAATTTAAAATAATTGAGTTCCTTTTTTGAAAATTTATTATTTACGAAAATAATTGAATTTTAGCGAATAATTTTCTTACTTATAAAAGTAATTGAATTCTTGGCAAGAATTTTCTTAAAAAATTTTGAAAATAATTGAATTTCAAGCGAAGAATTTCATTTTATGCAAAAATAAATTAATTTTTGCAAAAAATGTTCTTAAAATTTTTGAAAATAATTGAAATTTGCAAAGAATATTATCAAAATTGTTGAGAATAATTTTTTGATTTCAATTCTATTAGCGAATGTAATGTAGTGCAAATTTCTCAATAAAAAAGAAAAAAAAACTTTTCGTGTCTCAAAATGAATACGAAGTTTATAGTTTTTTTTTTCAGAAAAAATTAATAAACTTACCAATGTAGGTATTTAATTTTTTCGATGCATTCGCTGCATATCTCTCAACACTTGCTCCTGGTAACAGTGGTCCAGCCTCGTCAATTCTCAATTTTTTCGAGGTCGGCGGTTTTGATTCCACATTCATTCTTGACTTTGAACTTGTCTGAAATTTTCGGAAATTATTATTTAGTCATCAATTTTTGACAAGTAGAATAAGAACCTAACTAAATAAAAATTAAGAAAAAAACAATTAATATACCTACTCTCTAAATTTAGAGAGTATATTAATAGTTTTTTTTAAATAGAAATTTAAATTAGTAAACATTTTTACTAATTAAAATCTAGAGAGTCGAAGTTATGAAAAAAAATTCGCAAAAAAGAAAAATACTCACTCCATCTTTAATAGGATCCACGAGCGCCTTGATATGAACCAACAAAGTACAAGAGGAATTTGATTTTGCTCGAAATAGTTTTGGACTGGTGAGTGTCGCGCAACCGGAATGATCCGAAAGATCCATGCAACGTTGCAAATTAATTGGACCACAAAGAATTTCCGTATTATGTTGACGTTGATATTCCTCGGTCACCACTGGATTATCACCCTTCTGATCTATTCCAAGACTGAAGTCTATCCTCTCGTCAACCGATGTGATTGGAGTCTTATGATGACCAATACCGAAAATACTTTGTTTCAATAGTGTCACTTGAATTGCCGGCAGTTCCGGACACGGTGAATGTAAATTAAATTTCACATCGACATGTCCCACGACACCCGATGCAGTTCTCGGTAACGTTAATTCGAAAATGTGCTCGTCCCACGTTGACCTGCAATTAAAAAATAAAAAGTAAAGAAAAACTTAAAAACTTTGATTTCAATTTTAAGTGACATTAATTATAATTAAATAATTACTAAAATTTATTCAAGACTCAAAAAGTAATTAAACATTTTTTTACTAATTACAAAACTTAATTAAAATTTAATGAAAATACTTTATTCATTAAGAAACTTTATCAAATTAGAATACTTTGGTAAATAAAAAACTTTACTTTAACTAAAAAAAAGTTTTATAATTAGAAAACTATTTAATAAAATGACCCCTTAATTAGAAAATTTTGTTAAATGAAAATTAAAAAAAAAGTATTGAAATATTGAAAAGACTGAAAGATAAGTTTTCGAAACTCACGCATCATTTTGTAAACGCCAAGTCCTCGTGTGATGTTGATCCTCGGCTTGATGCAAATGTTGTGGATAATGTCGTTGTCTTTGTGCTTGCATCATTTCACTCCAGCAAGGCGGAACGTTTGCTCTGTACGCGGGCGAGTGTTTATCAAACTTTGTCAGTTCGTAAAGTGTCTTCAAATCGGCGTAGCTTAAATTATTCCTGTGCGCTATAATCGGTTCCCTGCAAAAAAAGCACAACAAAAAACATTTTAAAAACATTCTTTCCACTTCGAAAATTGAATTATTTTATAATTATCCACAAATAAATTAATTAAATTAAAACAGTAAAAATAAATTTCTTTTTGAACAACGAACTAAAATTAAAAATTTATTAATTCTATGCGAAAATATGAGTAACGATCGAAGTAAAAAAAAATAATAAAAAATAAATAGAAAGATACAAATATAAATAATAAATAAGAAACAAAACAAAAAATAAAATTATAAGTAAAAAAGAAAATAATAAATAAAATAAAATAATAAAAAATAGAATAATAAATAAAACACAAATGATTTTTAGAAATAAAATATTCGTTATTTGAACGTTCAAAAATTATGGAGCGTAATTCGATAAGAACTGAAAACTTACTGATACACTGTGGAAGACGTTGAAGTACTCGGTTCGGTTCGTTCATTAACGCAGCTAATTTCAGTGATCATTTTCAAATCTTCTGTTTCTTCCATTTCTTCTGGTATTTCATCCTCTTCTGTCGTTGCAAAAAAGTGAAGTGCTCCATTACTCGTACATGCACACAACCTTTCTAAACCTTTGGAAAAAAATATTTACTTTAGCTTCATATCTTGGATTTAAAAATTTTTTTTTGTACTTTAACTTATTACCATTACTATTTACACTCAACAATTTTTGCTACTTCGCACTCGTTAATAATAATTGAAATTTTAATTCTTCATGATTATTTTTAATCATTTCTAATTCGCACTCGACAATAATAATTTAAACTTTAATTCTTCATGATTTTTTTTGTTATTAAGGTAAATTTTTGAAAATATGTAACCAAAACTATTGAAAATAATAGATTCTTAAAAAATAATAATAAATTCAAAAAATTAGTTTTTTAAAAATATTTTTAAATAAGTTTCCAATTAACAATTTGATATTTAGTAAAAGTGTTTGAAGATAATTGAATTTTTTAAAACAATTTTTGGAAAATATTCAAAAATAATAAATATTTCGAAAAATTTTAACTAAAAAACTAATTTTTAGGAGAAATTTAATTAAAAATTATAAATATCATTGAATTCTAAAAATTTTTTAATAATAATTGTAAAAATTAGATTTTTTAAAAAATTATGTATGTAATTGAAATTATACGTCATAATTAAAACTATTGTAAATAATTGAATTTTAACAAGTAATGAAAAAATTCTCAGAATAATTTTGTTGGAAAATATTTTAATATAATTTTAATATAATTATAATAAAAAATATTTTATTATAATTTTTTGAATCTAGTTATTAATTTACATTTTCAAATTTTAATACTGACCATTTTTCATTATAAATTTTTGAGAATTCAATTATTTTCAAAATTTACTATTAATAGTCTTGAAACTTTAATTTTTAGAAACTTCAATTGCAACTATTTTTAATAAAAATTAAAAAAATGTCAATTGATTTAAAAACTTTTGAATTAAACATTATTTCAAAACTTTAATTACCTTAAAATAATTATAAAAACAATAATTATTAAAAATTTTGACTACATTTATAAAAATAGCAATAAAAATCGAAATAACTTGATATTTTTTTACAAAAAAATGGTATTTTTTTGCAATATTTAGAAAAAAAGTCAGAGATACTGTAAATAGTTAATTTTTAAAAAATTACAATAAAGCAAATATTCCTAAAAATAGTTTTTTTTTAAAATATCTTAAAACAATTTTTAATAAATAATATAATTTTTAGTTAGGTACATGTAATTGAAAAAATTTCCAATTAATTAAAATTTATGAAAATTTTTGAACAATAATTAAATTTTTTCGAAGAATATTTGGAATATAATTAAAAAATGTTCTATTAGTAAAATTTATAAAAATTTTTGGAAAATAATTGAATTTTCTCAAAGAATATTTGGAATATAATTGAAAAATTTTCTATTAGTTAAAATTTAGTAACATTTTTTTAAAAATAATTGAATTTTGACAAAGAATATTCAGAATATAATTGAATAATTGTCTATTAATTGAAATTTGGTAAAATTTGTTTGAAAATAATTGCATTTTTTAAAAATAATAATAGGAATATAATTGAAAAAATTACAATTAATTGAAATTGAAATAAAGAGTAAAATATTCTTTTAAAAAATTAGATTTTTTAAAAATTAGCAATGTTTTTTTCTATTTATTTGAATTTTCGAAAATATGTAATTGAAAAATATTGAAATTATTTGAATTTTAAAACATAAAAATATTCAAAGAATTCCTTTTTTTAAAAAAATATTTTAATTTTCATAAATTTTCCATTTGAAGATATTTTATTATAAGTTTCCAGAATTCATTTATTTTCAAAATTTGCAATTAAAATTCTTTAAAATTTTTATTTTTACCAATGGTAAAGAAATATTTGAAAAAAATCAATTATTTTCAATTAAATTTTATAAAAAGTATCCAAATAGTAGTAAATTGTAAAGAAAAGTAGTAAACAGCAGGTTTTAGTAGATGAGTGCGAAGCTTGCAATAATATTAATATTAATATCAATATTAATATCAACAGTGTCCAGTCAGGATTAAGAAAAAAATTCCCTGACCGGTGGACACTTTGATTAATATTAATAATAATAATTTTAAAAATGTATATTAAAAAAAATGCAATGCTTCTTCAGAGGATAAAAAAATATCGACTTACTAGTGCAATAAGCAGCCGAGACGAATTTCTGTCCCTCCAATCGAACTCGTGCCACAGTCTTCAAATTATTTAAATTCAAAATCCGCACAACTCCGTCCTTGCAAACCAATGCAATTCGTCCAAATGGCTCGCCCCTTTGTACCGCTTTATTGCGATTCTTCTCCTGAATCGGCAGCAAAACATGTTCCACTGGCGTTTCATCTGCTGACAATTCTTGCCGGACAATTGGATCGGGCACAATTCTCACAACTTTATCATTAAAATCAAGCGCATAAATCAATAAAATAGCCTTATCGCTATCATCCTCATTTCTCGTCTCACCATTCGATAAACTTTCACTCTGCGTCTCATTATGGTCCCAATACATAAAACTTTTTTGCGGAAAAAATTCACTCTCCTCATCGATATCCATACGAATTGTATTCGACGTCTCATTCTTCTCCATTGGCGACAACGCAACATACAAATGCCGCCCGTCCTTCGTTGGCGCCGTGTAAGAAATTCTCATATTCTCCGGCGCATCAATTCTCACACTTTGAATAACACTCGGCTCCATTTTCGTCGTCGTCGTCGTCGTTGCCGTCGTTGTTGTTGTTGCTGTCGTCGCCGCCCCCGTTGACGAAGAAGTTGTTGTTGTCGTTCCCACAGTTGTCGTTGATTTAACTTCTTGTATTTTCTTCGAGCATCCAACAGTCTCGGAATTTACAGCCGTAAATTGCTCCTGACCATTGATTGGATTGAAATTTGCATCGAATGTAAAACCTGGCGGCGGTACAAGTGGCGTGGGACAAATTCCATTTGACGACGATGCCGTTAATGGTGTTGTTGGAAAAATATTATCAAAATGCGTTCCAACCAACATTTCTGAATCGACATCCTCAACAAGATCCTCGAGGAGAAATTTACTGAGAAATAATTCCTGATAGAGACTCTCTTGTCTACCGTCATTTGAACTTGTACTCGTGCCCGTTCCCGACAATGTCTTCTTTGATTTCGCCTGTTTTGCCTCATCTTTCTTGGGTGGCGCCGGTGGCACTGCCTTGTGATGAAAATCGCATAAAACTAAATAAAGCATTCTCGTTGGTTGATATGATGAATCACTGGCAACTTTCATTATATCAATGATTGTTTGTCGATCGTTCGCGGCACTATTCACGCTGTTCATTGCTTGAACGAGAGACGAGGACGATGCTAAATCTGTTGACGAGGCCCAAACATTCTCGAGATTTCTTGATTGTGAGGAGTGACTGCCAGTGACGAGAATTCCTGATATTAAACATGGTCTTATTTGTGTGTCAAATGATGATGATGTTTGTTGTTGCTGCTGTTGTTGTTGTTGTTTTATTGGAATTGATGTGGCGAGATTATCGCTTAATGTTTCATCGTTTGTGATTTTCGGTGGACCAATTATTGACAGTGATGTTAATTCAATTCGATGTGATACTGATGATTTGTAGTAATTTAATGTTGTTGCTTCTGTGTCATAGCCAACTGATGCGTCCATTGACATTGCAAAAAATTGCATTGATTGTTTATTGTTGCTTTCTTGATCACTCAAGGCAATGTAGAAAGAGGCCTCGCGCTAAAATTTAAAAAAAAAGTTTAATTTTATTAAAATTTTTGAAATTCAAAAAATTTTGGACTTAACAGTATTTTTTTATTTTATTTTACTTTTTCTTTTAAAAGAAAAATTTTTCCTTTAAATAGGTTAAAAGGTGAATTATTTTCTTTAAATAGGTTAAAAGATGAATTTTCAACTAAAAATAGGTGACAAAAAAATTATAACTATTATATTTATAAATAAAATTAACTAATTAATAATTATATTTTATTTTCAAACGTTTTTCTAAAATTTTTCAAAACAATTCAATTATTTTTTCAAATTTTAATAAAATTCTTTGTAAGAATTCAATATCTTTCGTAAATAATTGAATTCTCCGCAGAAAATCAATTATTTTGCTTCCTCGTGAGGAAGCTTTGTAGTCGTTTAATTTACAAAATTTTTAAAAATCCTTTTAACAAATTTTCTTCTATATGGGACTATGTTATATAAGACCCTGAACAATTGTCCGGATGTATGTATGTGTATGTGTGTGTGTGTGTGTGTGTGTGTGTGTGTGTGTGTGTGTGTGTGTGTGGATCCCGATTTTTGTGAACACGATAACTCGAAGAGGTTTTAACGAATTTGGCTAAAATTTACCAGGTATATTTATCCTAAAAATATCTCGAAATGGATTGATAGACTTTAAAAAATTCTCAAAAAAAAAATTTTTTTTGACTTTTTTCTAAAAAAAATTTTTTTTCAAAAAATTTTTTTTAAGTTGGTTATTGAAGTTAATAAATAATAAAATCTTATTCTTTGCATCAAGACGAATCGATTAGTATATAAAAAGTATAAATTGTATGAGAATTTGCAGAGTTAATCACAATTAAAGCTGAAAAATTCGCGTTTTTATCAAAAAATGAGTGCTTTCCGCAAAATTATGTTGCCGTATAAGAAAATCTTACTCATTTATTTCTAAAATCTTATTCTTTGCACCAAGACGGATCGATTGGTATATATAAAGTATATATTGTATTTAAATTTATAGAATTAAAACCAATTATAGACAAAAAATTTGCACTTTTAATAGAAATTCATTTTTTCTTAAAAATCATGTTGCTGTACAATAAAATGTTATTATTTATTGAGAAATAAATCAAAAATCTTATTCTTTGCATCAAGACGAATCGATTGATGTATATAAAGTATATAATCTATTGAAAAATATAGAATTAATTACAATCAAATTTGAAAAATTCACTTTTTTACTAAAATTTTTTTTATTTATTTAGATTCATATTACTGTTTAAGAAAATTTTATTCTTTCTATTAAGACGAATGCACTTTATTTTATAAATGTTAAATTGTATTAAAAGTTATTTAAAAATTAAATATTCTTATTGTTAATGCTTCCTCCACGAGGAAGCAAATTTTTTTTGCTGATCGTAAAGAGGAAGCAAAATGTTCATGTAATGAACATCTGGATTTACAACTTGTTTAACAAAATTTTAATAAAATTCCTCAAAATAATTCAATTATTTCTTTAAATAATAAAATTTTTTGCAGGATTTCAATTATTTTTATACAAATAAAAAATTTTTTTTCAGAGAAATTCAATTATTTGGAATGTAATTTTAATAAAATTTCTCTACAGAATTCAATTATTTTTAAAAATAATTGAATTGTTCGCAAAAATTGAATTAATTTAAACAGAATTTAAATAAAAATTCTGACAAAATTCAATTATTTTAAAAAGAATTTAAATAAAACTTCCTAAAAAAATTAAATTACTTTATTAAATAATAAAATTCTTTGCAGGATTTCAATTATTTTCATAAATTTTAATAAAATTATTGTCTCGAATTCAATTCACTTTATAAATAACAAAATTTTTAGCAAAAATTCAATAATTTAAAAAATTTTTTTAATAAACTTCTTAAATTCTTCGTCTAAAATAAAATTTTTTGAGAAAGATTGAAATTCTATTTAAAATAATTGAATTCCTCTGAAGAATCTTATTATTTATGAAAATAATTGAATTCTTTAGAAAATTTTTTATTAAAATTACATTTTAAATAATTGAATTTCTCTGAAGAATTTTAATATTTTTCTTAGATTATTTAAAAATTTTCATAAATTACAAAATTCTTTGAAGAAATTTAAGTATATTTATAAATAATAAAATTCTTCCCAGAAATTCAATAATTTTCAAAAATTGTAATAAAATTCTTGTCTAGAATTCAATTATCTTTATAAATAACAAAATCTTTAGCAGAAATTCAATTATTTTCAAAAATTTTAATAAAATTCTTCTCAAGAACTCAATTATTTTCATAAATTGCAAAATTCTTTGCAGGAAATAAATTATTGTCAATTTTTTTTCTGTTTTTAATTCAATTTAATTAAATAATTAATTAATTAATTCAATTTTTTTTCAATTCAATTCATCAAAAATTTTAATAAAATTCTAAGCAATCATTAAATTATTTCAGATTCTAAATAATGAAAGTTATCAAAAATTTTTTAAATTTCGAAACAAAACGCGGAAATAAAAAAATTTATTTTTGCTTTTAAAATAAATAACTGTATTTCGCACTAATAAAAATTAGTTTTCTACATTAATTTACAAGTTACCATTTTTATGTTTTTGTGATGTTAAATAATTTACAAAAAATTAAATCATGATTTTTAATTCAAAACAATAATATTGTCTAACTATTCTTTGTTAGTATTTAATTTTCAAAACATAAGATTTTAAAATTCAAAGAAACATGTGAAAATAATTATTATCAAGAAAATTAGGAAAAATTAACATTTCACAGAAATTTTGTTTCAAAATATGTTATAAATTTTATTATATTTTCAAATTTTGATAAACTGTTCCTAAAATATAAATAAATAGAAAAAAGTAGACAAATTAAAGTTTAAAACACTTGATTTGTAAATTAATTAAAATAAAAAATTTCTTCTGTTTGAAGTTTGGAAAAATTGAAATTCAGATCAACTTAATTTGAGCTTAATTATAAATAAGATGAATTTCAGAATTTAAAAGATTAAAAATTTCGAAGATTTAAATTCAGAGTCAATTAAGATTTTAATCGATGAAAGTTTCGAAATCTTTAGAATTCTAAATTTATTGACATTAAAATGAATTAAAAATTTCTAAAGACTAGTTTTGATCGAAAATATTATAAAAAAGTTTACAAAATTGATGAAATAGGTGAAAATAAACGGAATAGGTGAAATATGTAGCAAAATTTAAAAGAAGGTGAAAAACGCAAAAAAAAAACTACTAAATAAAAAAAACGTGTTAGAAACGTTTCAGAAGCAAAGAAACACTTTCGAAACCAAAAAAGATTTTAGAAGCAAGTAAACATTTTAGAATCAAATAAATATTTTGGAAACAAAAAAAAACATTTTAGAATCAAATAAACATTTTGGAAACAAAAAAAGAAATTTTAGAAACAAATAAACATTTTAAGAATGTTTGATTAGATAATTTCGATTAGATAATTGATAATAAAGAATAAAAAAAAATGTATTAAAATAGAAATCTTATTATTGCAATTACCTTGAGTTGATTGCGAACATTCCAAACACTAACGAGGCCGTTGTTTGTACCCGTGGAAACGAGACCGGCGACATTTGTTGTGCCGATTATTTCGACACTCCCATCTGAAATTTGAGCGGGCGCTGTTGCGAGAGTAACCGACAAGGGTACATTTTGTGTGTACTCTCCCTTGACAAAGGGACACGACGGTGTATGTCGCTCGTGTTCCGACCATGGCTCATCAGTTGGTTCCCAACAAACGAGGCAAACATTGCAAGTGAAGCACATTGCCCGATCATCGCCCGTTGAATTTGGCTGATGATAGAATCCCGCCTGTGCCATTTGATCGGGAAATGCCCATCTGTAAATAAACACCATTTTTTTTTTATTTTAAATTGTTCCACTTTTCAATTAATTGCTATTATTATTATTCAATTATTACTTTTCAATAAATTAATTTATCGTGTTCGATTACATTTACACATTCATTTTGATTCTGATTCACTCTAAAAATTATTAGATACTCAAAAAAACATTCTATTACATTTATTTACGAATTTCTTAAATTGTAAAATTATTCGTAAACATCAATAAAACTAAATTTTTAAATAAGTATTTAATTATTATTTTTCCATAGGAATTAAAATTCTTCAAACATTTTTAAAATTAAACAACTTATAAGAATATTATTATAAAACAAGAAGATATCAATTACTCCGAGTCTTCGACTCGAAGTGATTGATATCTTCATGTTTTATAAAAATTTTAATTTCCATAAAATTTTTCAAAAAAAAAATTAAATTATTTACAAAAATTATAATAAAATTCGTTGCAAGAATTCAATTACTTTCATAAATAATAAAATTCTTCACATGGTTTCAATTATTTTTAATACAATTTTAAATAAATTTCTCGAAAAATAAAATTATCTTCAAACATTTTTTGCAAGAATTAGGTACATTTCACAAATTATTCATTATTTTTCACAATATCCATTATTTTCATAAATTATAAAATTTTTCTGAGGATTTTAATTATTTATAATACAATTTAAAGTAAATTCCTAGAAAAATGGAATTATTCTCTTAATTGTTTTGTAAGAATTTAATTACATTTCACGAATATAATTAAATTCTTCGTTGAAATTCAAATATTTTCACAATTTACTTTTTTTAATAAAAGTTCTCAAAAGAATTCAATTATTTCAAAAAAATGTAATAAACTTCGATGCAGGAATTCAATTATTTTCATAAATAATAAGATTCTTTACATTATTTCAATTATTAAAAAAAGAAATTTGAAAAAATTCATTCCGAGAATTCAATTACTTTCATAAATTAATAAAATTCTTCACAGGATTTCAATTATTTTTAATAAAATTTTAAGTAAATTCTTCGAAAAATGTAACTATTTTCAAAAATTTTATTAAAATTCTTCGAAAGAATTCAATTATGTATTTTTAAAAATTCATGCTTTAATGCTTTTAATATTCAATTATTATCTAAAATTTTAACTAATATTCATTTTCAAATCAATTTTTATTGGAAAATTCTACAAGAATTCAATTATTTACATACAAAAATAAATAATTTATTGAATAAATGAATGTTTTTTGAAACTAAATTATCATAAAGAATTTTATCAACAAATTTGAATTTTTTCGAGAAATTTTAATAAAATTTTCAAGAATGATTAAATTTTTCGAGGAATTCAATTAAAATTGTATTAAAAATAATTGAAATTCTATGATGAATTTTATTATTCATGAAAATAATTGAAGTTTTGTAAAAAATGTTATTATTTATGAAAATAATTGAATTATTGCGAAATTTGCTTAGAATTTTATCAAAAATTTTTTTTTTTTTTTTTGAAATAATTGAATTCTTTTGAAAAATTTTATTAAAACTGTAGATATTGAAAATCATTGAATTAAGAAAATTTTTTTTGAAAATAATTGAAATTTTGCAATGAATTTTATTAAAATTTTTGAAAATAATTGAAATTTGAAGAAGAATTTTATTATTTTTAAAGATAATTGAATTTTGACGAGAATTTTTTTGTTATTTTTGAACATAATTGAATTTTTTGCGAAGAATTTTATTACTTTTGAAAATAATTGAATTTCTGCAATCATTTGTAACTTCTCAAAAATTCAATTTTTTCCAGTTAGTTAAATAAAAATCCCTGACTTTTCCCTGAATTCCCTGATTTCCCTGACCTGTGGCAACCCTGGTGTAATAATTTTATTTCCTCTGAGAGTTTTTCCATTTTTTCTAATTGCCACAGGCAATTCTAATTTTTCTGATCTGGGAGATTAGGAAAATTAGAATAGAATTGGGAGTAAAATTGAAAAAGGGGTAAAAAAATTGATTTCTACCTGTAATTCATGTGGGGCCATTTGGAAAATGAATCTCGCCGGGCAGCCTCGCTGAACATGAGGGCCCTATCAACAGGTCGTCCTTCTATGCTGACACTTGGCATTAGGCCGTTGAGTCTTTCGTTTATTGCCGAGGCGATCGGCAATGCCGGAATGTGCCTCGTTTGTTTCTTCAATTCCATTACTAATCCAGAGCACACCAGCTTCAAAGCTCCGTGTGGCAATTCCAAACATATTGTGTTCCACTAGAATCGTACAAAAAAAAAAAAAATTTTTCAAAAACCAAAAAATGCAATATTTGCAATATTTGGAAAACAATATTTGTAAAGTCAAAAATGTCACAATTTTTGAAAATAAATCGAAAAAAGTTTCAATTTTCTAAATTTCCCTGACTTTACTAACAAAAATTTTGTTTTCCTGACTTTACTGACATGTGACCACCCTGAATAAAACAAAAAACGAGTTTTTTTATTTTCTAAATACAAAAAAAAAATAAACAGTTTCATTTAAGTAATATTTTGTACTTTTTTTTAGAATTAATAAGTTCTAATATCCTTTCGTATCACTAAATTTTAGCCTTTATCTTGTAAATTTTCTCTAATTAAAGAATGTCAAGGGGAAAAAATTCTCATCCTCTAATTAGAGAAATTAATGTATATAATTTAGTAAGTATATAATTTTTTTCATTCTAAACCAACTTTAATGCATTCTTAATTTAAAAAAAAATTCCCTATAAAAATCTATAAAATAATAAGCCTCTTTTTTTTACTTTTTCTATAATGTGATTAAAAAAAAAGATTAATTACTTAATGTTCCAATAGAATTTTTTTTTCTCAAAATATTAAAATAAATAAATATTAAATAAGAAAATTTCAGTTTATTAATTTGTTACCTTTTGGGCTTTGATACCCCTCTTTTGGCTCGTGTGTCCGGAATGAATTTTGGAGGATAATTCCTGAAGGACCTCCTGCAGATGATCTGCCCCAGGCAGTTCTATGCAACGTAGACATTGATAGAGTAAAACAGCCTCGGAAAGGAGAAGTTCTAATTTTATAATATCTTCGCTACGAATTACTGGTGTCTGTAGTATTGTGTCCAGTAAAAGTACTCCATTATAATCACTTCTAACGCCGATTCCTCGACCGTCTGTGTATAATATTTTGTCGATTCCATCGGCTAAATATGTGCCCCGCAATTTTCCACCAGCTTTATCTGGAAAGAGGAAATTTTCCCCACGTTAATCACTTTTCACTTGAAAAAATTATTACACAAATCAAAAAAAAAAAAAAAAAAAATACAAAAGGAATTTATTAAAAATGTTAATTACTCACGAAATAATTAATTACACGCTTAGGAAATAATTAATAAATTAGAGAAATTAAAAATAATTTATTGCACAACTTACAATTAATTATATAACTATTAATTAATCATATAACTAATACAAAATTAATTAATTATAGATATTTATACGGAATTCAATTATTTTAATAAAATAATGGAATTCTTTGAAGAAATTTCATTATTTAAAAAAGAATTTTAATAAAATTTCTCAAAAAATTCAAGTATTTTAAATGTAATTTTAAAAAAATTCCTCTAAAGAATTCAATTATTTTTATAAAAAATGAAATTCTTCACAAAAAGTCAATTATTTTAAATAGTATTTTAATACAATTTCCTAAAAAATTCAATTATTTCTTTAAATAATAAAATTCTTTGCAGGATTTCAATTATTTTCATACAAATAATAAAAAATTTTTTTAGAGAAATTCAATTTTTTTCAATATAATTTTAATAATATTTCCCTAAAGAATACAATTTTTTTCATAAATAATGGAATCCTTCGCAGAAATTTCATTATTTTCAAAAGCATTTTAATAAAATTTCCCAAAAAATTAAATTATTTCTTTAAATAATAAAATTCTTTGCGGGATTTCAATTATTTTCATAAATAGTGGAATTCTTCGAAAGAATTTTATTATTTTAAAAAGAATTTTAATAAAATTGTCCAAAAAATTTTATTATTTCTTTAATTATTATTAAATTCATTGCAGGAATATAATTATTTTCATAAATAATAAAATTCTTTGCAGGATTTCAATTATATTTATAAATAATATAAAATTCTTCAGAGAAATTCAATTATTTTTAATGTAATTTTTATCAAATTTCTCTAAAGAATTCAATTATTTTAAATAGTATTTTAATACAATTTCCTAAAAAATTCAATTATTTCTTTAAATAATAAAATTCTTTGCAGGATTTCAATTATTTTCATACAAATAATAAAAAAATTTTTTAGAGAAATTCCATTTTTTTCAATATAATTTTAATAATATTTCCCTAAAGAATACAATTTTTTTCATAAATAATGGAATCCTTCGCAGAAATTTCATTATTTTCAAAAGCATTTTAATAAAATTTCCCAAAAAATTAAATTATATCTTTAAATAATAAAATTCTTTGCGGGATTTCAATTATTTTCATAAATAGTGGAATTCTTCGAAAAAATTTGATTATTTTAAAAAGGGGCCGTCCATAAACCACGTAGCCCCATTTTTTGGGAATTTTGACCCCCCCCCCTCCCCCCATGTAGTACGCTATTACATGTATTAGCGCCATTTTTTCCTCTTGTCGTAGTCAATTGCTTGACCCCCCCCTCCCCCTCAAGAGGCTACGTGGTTTATGGATGGCCCCAAAGAATTTTAATAAAATTTTCCGAAAAATTTTATTATTTCTTTAATTATTATTAAATTCATTGCAGGAATTTAATTATTTTCATAAATAATAAAATTCTTTGCAGGATTTCAATTATTTTTATAAGTAATATAAAATTCTTCAGAGAAATTCAATTATTTTTAATGTAATTTTTATCAAATTTCTCTAAAGAATTCAATTATTTTCATAAATAATAAGATTCTTCAGAGGCATTTAATTATCTTAAACATTGAATTTTAATAAAATTTTTCAAAAAATTCAATTATTTCCATAAATAATACAATTATTCATGGAAATTTAATTATTTTACAAAAATTTTAAAGTATTCTTTATAAGAATTTAATTATTTTTAATGCAAATTTTTAATTTAATTTCTCGAAATATTCAATTATTTAAAAAATTTTTAATGAAATTCTTTGAAATAAGTTAATTATAATAAAAACTTTTCATAAAATTCTTCCCAAAAATTCAATTACCTTCATAAATAATAAATTTCTTGGAATGAATTCAATTATTTTTGAAGATTTTTATTTTTTTTACTTCTTTTAACTTTTATTTTTTTTATCAAAAAAATTGTTTTGTTTATCAAAAAGATTAATTCTTAACAAAAAAAATGTTCAATTTTAATTATTTTTCATCCTTTTTATAGTAATTTTCGAAAAATATTTAAATAGAAAAAAATGTCGTTCATTTGAAAGTTCAAATCTTAAAATTATGGTTTTTAATTCAATTTACTTGTATTTATTATTAAACGGTTATTAATTATTAATTATCAAATAATAAATTATGATTGTATTAGATAATAAACAGTTTAAATAAATAAATAATTTATTATTAATGAATAATTGATAATAATTAATAATAAAAATAAACATTGTAAATTACAATAAAAAACTTAAAAAAAACAATAATCGCTGTTTAACTACTTACAATTTAACTCAGTAACAAAATTCACGTAAAAATCATTTTGTTGCCTTCATTTATTTCAAATTTCATTTATTTTACAAGTTTTTCAATTGTTTAAATCCAGAATAATATTATTTGTTACTATTGTTATAATTGAAATTAAAATAAAAAAATTGTTTTGATAAAATGTTTTTAATAATAATTCTTCTTATTTTCTGAAATTTATGAAACATTTAAAAAATTTTCTGCAATATTTTATAATAAACTTATTATTAATGAATTTAAAATAGAAAAAAAAATTAGTTTGAAAAAATTTGTTTTTAATAAAAATTTTACTTATTTTCTAAAATTTATGAAATATTTAGAACATTTTCTACAATTTTTATAAAATTTGTTAATATTATTTATTTATAAAATTGTTATTATTGAAATTAAAATAGAAAGGAAATTTTTTTCGAAAAATGTTTTGTTTTTAATAAAAATTCTTCTTCTCTGAAATTCATGAAGTATTTGGAAAATTTTCTACAATATTTAAATAATAAAATTGCTCATTCAAAAGTAAAATAGTCAAAAGTGCATTTTTAGTGCTTTAAAGAAATAAATAACTCATTCTATACTTAACAGTTTCATTATTAATATCTGTTCAAGTTACATAAATTACGGAAATAGTAGCTCTCAAATGTAGCGTTGAAAAAAAATGTTCAAAAATACGAAATTTTTTCACTTTTTTCAATTCATTTTGCAATTTCAATTTATTTAAAAAAAATTAATTCTAAACAAATATTTAATTTTAATTATTTCTTCTCATTTTGTATGAAATTTTTTCGAAAAATACATAAGCAGAAAAAAATTATCCTTCATTTCAAAACATCAGGAAAAATAAAAAAAGCTCGTTTTGCAAATATTTATTTTTCTGTAAAATTTAAGAAAATAACTTTTATTCTTAAAATATTATTTTTATCATTTCAGTATCAAAATTTAAGAATTTAAATTTTTTTTACTATTTTATAATTTTTATTAATTCATTAATTTTGTTTTTAATTTTTTCAGAAGAAATTCTCTTAAAAAAATTAATTTTTTCACTATTAAAATTGATATACAAACACATTTGATTTCATAATATTTAACTAATCTAGAAAAAAAATTGAAAATTATTTTTCTGACGCAATATTAATGTTAATTATCCTCAAGCGGAGTATTAATTAATCAACTTAGTTGTTATTATAAAACTATTTATTATTGACAACAGTACCAATTTCACCGCGTAGTCTCGCTCATATTGATTTTAAAACAAATTAATAAAAAGCAATAATTACGTTTAATTATCCGAATATGTCGTTTAAACATTTATATCAAAAATTTCCTATCATTCTCAAATAAATCGAATATATTTAAAAATTCTTATTTTTCTACACATTAAAATAGTTTTGTATTCAATTTTTTTCTTCAAGATTAAATTTTGCAAATTTTTGTTCAACGTGAAAAAAAAGAAAATTTATTATCAACCTCATATGGAATAAAGTAAAATTTCACAAAAATCGTTATTACGTTTTAAAACGACAAAGGAACCAAAGATTTTCTTTAAATTGACCAAAAAAAAATGTTTACAACATTGACAAAAAAATAAATTTCAAAAACAAACGGGAAATAAATTATTTTTTTGATTTTTCTTCTTTGTTTAATTACCTACGGAAAAATCGAAAATAAATTTTTCGTTCGGTTTTTTCAAAGAAGTGAAAGAGAGACTTGTCACAATGAACCCTTCCATTGACTGATTCTCCGGGGGTAAAAAGAAAAAAAAACCAAAAAAATAACTTCAAATCATCGTTGAAATATTATAAAATATTTTATTAGCTAAAAAAAAAGTGTGCCGTAAAAGAAAATTTTTGCAAAATCCGATAAAAATTCTCTAAAGAAATCTTTAATGGGCTGACATTTTTTTAAAAGAGTGTGTGTTATAATATACACAAGGAAGGAGCGGAAGGCGACCTTGAACATGACGATTTTGCGTGTGAAACTGTAGACAAGTTCCAAGGAATTTAATCATTGTCGATATCTAAATATCAATGATATTGCCATTTTGGAATAAATAAAATTTGTTGCCATTTACCAGACAGAAAGCTGCGTTGAAGAATCAGTCCTGAGTTGACATCAAAAACGCACACTTGCGCATTCCCAGTAGTTATCAGCACCACATTTAAATTCGGATGATAGATTATGTTTTTGCACTCGCAATCTAAATTAAGATAACCGTCTTCCTTTAATAACCACGTTTCATCATCGGCCATTGTTGCACATGCAAATACGAGGTCTCAAAAAATTTTTCTAATACGCGAGAAAATCACGAGAAACATGGCGTACCAATCACCGCCATCTTTAAGTAGATACAACGTCACAGTGCCGATTGAAGTTAGCCGCATAACACAAGCGAGATATATCGATGATCATCACTCGAGAATTTAAATCGAGAATTTAAATTTGAAATCAGATATTTTGACTTTTTTATTGTTTTTAATTATTTATACTTGTTTATTATTAATTTCTACTTACAGATCGTTTTCACAAACCAAAAACGTTATTTTGAACTACCTAATTTTTAATCTTCAGTATGTTTCTAGATTTTAATTATTAATACACAAAAATTCCGCGCATTCCCCCTTAGGAGTGTGAAGTAGTTTGTGAACGACCCTTTAGTGTTTGTTTTATTTAAACATAACCTAAAAATGAATTTTCAAGACTATCAGGTAAGTAATTTTTAATTTTTACTAAAGATCCTAAAGATTACTAAGTATTATTATTTATTATTAAATTCTAATTTGAAATTCAATCATTCGAGCTGGAAATCGCTTGGGAAAAATCGAAAGAAACGTGAGTCTTGTCAAAAATACATGGAAAACAAATGAATACCTACAGATTCTGTCTTTTTTTCTTTTATGAAAGGAGAAATTCTCGAATTTAACACTAGGTAATGAATAATTAAATAAAATTAGTGTTAATCAACGTGTCTTATAAGTAAAAAAGAAACACTAAATGGTAAGAAATTATATTATTCTTATTCTTAAGTTTTGAAACTATTCTACATATAAACTTGCATCCAATAATGACGGGTTGCCTACACACAGGGGCTGGAAACGTAAATCGCCTCTTTTTAATTTTTTCTATTATAAAAATGATTATTGAAATAAAATCATTTGACTGGAAAATAAAATTATTGAATTATTTCAAAAGTTTAAACGCTATTATCTTGATAAATAAAAAAATTCTTTACGGAAATTCAATTATTTTTATAGAATTTTAATAAAATTTTGTGGAAAATTAAATTATTTTTATAAATAATAATATTTATCACAAGAATTCAATTATTTTCATAAATAATTAAATTTTATTTATAGGAATTCCAATTATTTCCATTCTTGTCAAAATTTTAATTATTTAAAATTTAATAAAATTCTTTGAATGAATTCAATTATTTTTAAAAATTTTAATAAAATTCTTCAAAAAGTTTTCAATTATTTTCAAAAAATTAAATAAAATTCTTTGCAAAATTTCAATTATTTTCAAAAGTTTATCGCAATTCAATGATTTTTAATATTTATACTATTTTCATAAAATTTATGAAAATAATTTAATTATTGAAAAAAATTTTTGAGACAATAATTTTTAAATTATTATTTAAATTCTTCTCAGGAATTCAATTATTTTAAAAAATTTATTTAAAATTCTTGAAAAAGTTTTCAATTATTTTTAAAAATTTAAATAAAATTCTTTAATATATAATAAATTTTAGTAAAATTTAAAAATTAAATTTCTTAAAAGAAATTAAATATTCTCAAGAGTTTTTTTTCCAAACGTTAAACTTTAGTATTGAACATTACTTATTGTAATAATAATAAAAAAATAGTTTTAAAAAAACACATTTTTAGGGACAAAAATTTTGTTTTAAAAAAAAAATAATTTTCTGAAAATTAAGCTTTTAATTTCCACGTTTTCCAAGAAAGTTTGCTCGCGAATATTTAACTTATAATTGAAATTGGAAAATTCATTGTCAAAGTGTAATTATATTCCAAGATCGTTGGAAACATTGTAGTTGAAGTTTTTAAAAGAATAAATAACAATAGGTCAATTGATTATTTAACCTGAAAATAATTTGAATTATTCAATAACTCTACAACTGAAATTATTTTTTTAATTTTGTTACACGTTTTAACTTATGACAGATTTCTATATCAGTCATTATTGATTTCAATTGATACTTAGTTTGTATTTTTAGTTTTTACTCTATTATTATTATTTTATTTTATTTAACGGTTTTTTTGTTTTTTTGGGGGGGGGTTCAAAATGGGTTTAATGGATACTTTTAATTATTATTATCATGACTTGGCAGGTAAGAATAATTTTTTTCCTTATATGTCAAAATTCTATTGTTGAAATTAGGTTTTTTTTGGTTAAATTTGAAAAAATCACCTAGGGAAAAATTTATTATGAAGCAAAGAAAATTTATTTGAACCAAAAGTAAAATTTATATTTGAAGGAAAAAACCTTTATTTGAAGCAAAGAAAATTTATGTTCGAACCAAAGAACCTGTAAAATCTGGAAATTTTAGAGAATTTTATAAACCTTGAAAAAACCTGAAAAAGTCAGGGAATTTTGATCGAAATCCTGGAAAATTGTTGTTTTCTAATAAGTTATTGTGTTTATTCTTGAAATTTGATAAATTTCACTTAAATATTTCAAAATTAATTCAATTTTAAAAGAATTGCGTTTACAATTTTCATAAGTAGATGAAATTTAAAATAAAAATTTTATATTGGAATTTAATTATTATTTTCATAAATAATAAAATTCTTCGCAAAAATCTAATTATTCTGAATACAATTTTAATAAAATTTCTCTAAAAATTTTAATTACTTTCAAAAGTTTAAATAAAATTTTTAAAAAATTCAATTATTTTCACAAATCGTATAATTTTTCACCAGAATTTAATTATTTAAAAAAAATTTAATAAAATTCTTCCCGAAAATTCAATTATTTTCACAAACAAAATTCATTGCAAAATTTCAATCTTTTTAAAAAATTTTTAATTCTTTCATGGAATTTAATTAAAACTGTATTAAAAATAATTTATTTCTTATAAAGAATTTTATAAAAAATTCTTCAGAATATTTGAATTCTTTCGAAGATTTTCATTAAAGTTTTAAAAATAATTGAATCTTATTGAGAAATTTTTTAAAATTTCAATAAAAAATAATTAAATTTCTGCGAAAATTTTGTTACCTATTTATGAAAATAATTGAATTCTTACGAAGAATTTTATTAAGAAATTTAAAAATAATTGAATTTCTGACAATTTTTCTCAGGAATTTAATTATTATAGAAAAATTTAATAAATTTCTTTGTAAAATTCAATTATTTTCATAAATCACAATATTTATCAAAAAAATTCAATTATTTTCAAGAAATTTATTAAAATTCTTTGCAAAATTCAATTATTTAAAAATTTGTTGATAAAATTCTTTATGAAAATTCAATTTTAAAAAGCATTCAATTGTTTAATAAAATATTTATTTTTATAGTTAAATAATTGAATTCTCGTAGAATTTTCTAATAAATATATTGATTTAAAAATGAATTTCAAATTAAAATCTTTGAAACATTGAACTTTTCATTCTTTTAATTAAGAATTCTATAGAATTAATTTTTCTGAATAAGTTTAATGGATTTTTTTTTAATTATTTGAAGTTTTTAATTTCTAATAATATATTTAATTGAAGAATGTCAGAATAATCGAAATTTCGTAAAATTAAATTGTAAACAAAAGAATTTGATAATTCACAAAGAACTTTTTCAAAAATTATTTTTAAAAAATTGACTTAAAGAAGAATTTTTCTCTGGGTGTAGACAATTTTTGAGAAATAAATTTATAAATATAATAATTGATTTTAACGATAAGTAAATATATTTATAATTTTTAGATCCACGAATGAGAGATCGATTTCTATTAAATAGCATTTGGTATCCTATTGTAATACTATCAATATATTTTTTTATTGTACTAAAATTGGGACCAGCTTACATGAAAAATCGTGCAGCCTACAAATTAAACACATTTATTAAATGTTTCAATATTTTTCATATATTTGCGAATGCTTACTTGCTGATAAACATAAGCTCCTGTTATCCATTTCTTAAAGTTTTAGAATGTCGACCGATTATTTACAATACGGATCATTGTGGTATGCTGGTATGGTATTTTTCCTACTTTCCTCTCATGCACTAAGAAAACATCATCATTATCACCATTATCATCATCATTATCATCATTATCATCATTATCATCATTATCATCATTATCATTATCATTATCATTATCATTATCATTATCATTTTTATAATTCTCATCATCATTATCATCATTATCATTATCATCATTTTTATCATTCTCATCATCATTTTCATCATTATTATTATTATTATTATTATTATTATTAAATATATTAATATTATTTTTATTATTATTATCTAATAGTACTTATTATTTCAGATAGCGAAATTGACATACTTTGCAATATGGTTAAAACTTATTGATCTCACCGAAACTGTTATTTACATATTGCGAAAGAAAAATAATCAAGTTTCTATTTTGCACCTCTATCATCATACAACAACTTTCCTAATAGTTGTAGTTTTTTCAAAATATTTAACATCTGATGTTGTAATGTTGGGTCCAATTTTGAACGCTTTTGTTCATGTGATAATGTACACTTATTATCTTCTTAGTAATTTTGAAGGACCAATTAAACAAAAAATTATGCCTTTCAAACGTTATCTGACCCTTTTGCAAATGGTAAAAAAAATATATTTTTTTTTATATAAATATAGAGTTTATTTTATTATAATGGCTTCATATTAGAAAATAATAATTTTTAACATGTATTTTACGAATAATATTTAATAATGAATTTTTAATTTTCAGGGACAATTTATCATTGTAATTGCACAATTTTCATTGGCTTTAACGTATAAACACTGTGAAGTTCCAAAATGGGGTATCATTGTAGGATTATTAAATTATATTTTCAATTTCTGTTTGTTCTATAGTTTTTACAGAAAGACTTACATTGACACGAAGAAGAAAAAAGTTTAAAAGAGAATATTGATTTTTTTAAAAATAATTTTACATAATTTAATTACTGTATAAATTTTTGCATAAAAAAAAATAAATGTTTTAAATATTTTCTCTTTACAGAAATATAAAAAATTCATTATCAAAAGTTAAGTAGTTTACCGTATTGTTTTTTAGCGGAAATAAAATCAGCTGATTACTTTTGAATAAATAAATAATAATGAATAAAATGAGATATTAATTTTAATTAAATTATTTATAGTACATTAACCCCTTAACAGTCCATGGCCCATATATGGCCACGAAAAGTCGTGCCACCTTTGCGTCTGTGGCCATATATGGCCATCTCAAAAAAAAAATACTAAACATGATTTGATTTTAGTAGCGAAGTACATACTACTGTTTTTGGGGTCGCTGAATCCGAATCTGAAGTCAGATTTAAAAAATTCAAAATGGCGGACCCAAAATGTTGACTTCGAAAAATAAAAAAATTTCAAATTCGCTTTAAACTCGTTACTTGGGGGGTTTTCGGGGTCTCTGATTACAAATATGATGTCAGATTTTTAAAATTCAAAATGGCGGATCCAATATGGCGGATAATTTCAAGATTGATGCGATTCGATTAAAATTCGTTTCTCAGGGGTTTTTGGGGTCGCTGAATTTGAATTTGATGTTCGTTTTACAAAATTCAAAATGTTGGATCCAATATGGCGGATAATTTCAAAATTTATGCGTTTTGATCGAAATTCCGTTCCCGGGGTTTTTTGGGGTCGCTGAATTCGAATTTGATGTTCGTTTTTCTAAATGCTAAATTTTGGATTCAATATGTCGATCAAATTTTTTGAATGTTGACAAATTTGTCTAAAATGTTTACTCAGGGGTTTTTGAGGTAACTTCATATTTTTTTCGCATCAATCTTGAAATCATCCGCCATATTGGATCCGCCATTTTGAATTTTGAAAATCTGACATCATATTTGTAATTAGAGACCCCGAAAACCCCCGAGTAACGAGTTTTAAGGGAATCTGAAAAAAAATTTTTTTTTGAAGTCGACATTTTGGGTCCGCCATTTTGAATTTTTTAAATCTGACTTCAGATTTGGATTCAGCGACCTCGAAAACCCCCGAGAAATGAATTTCCCTTAAAACGCTTTAATTTTAAAATTATCCACCATATTTGGTCGCCATATTGGATCCGCCATTTTGAATTTTCAAAAATTAACCTCAAATTCGAATTCAGCGACCCCAAAAACCTTATATATGATTAAATCATATTTTTTTGTAAACTTTTTTTTCGGACCGTTTTTGGACCACAAGCGATTTTCAACTAGACTGCGAAGGGGTTAAAGATATGTTATATATATAAATTTCTATTGTAATTGTACTCATTTTGTTAATTTTATTTTTGTTTCTATACTTTTTGTATTTAGAATTTTGAATTTCGCGGGAAAATTGGTTTTAAGTTTTATCGACAGTTGTTGGCGTGTCGCTTTTGTGATTCCCCTCTGTGTAGGGGAAAGGTGTACGAGATGATCCCCTGGGGCAAGACGATCCTTTTGAATTTTGGAGAGCCTATTAGCGCCACTTTTTAGGCAAATACGGTAATACGTTGCCAATGACATACCTATGAATCAGTCAAACTGTCATGACAACACGCGTCATTAAAAAAATTCTATTGGAAAAAATAAAAATTTCATACTTTTGATCTAAGGACAGCTTAACTTTGGGGCTTAGATAACTTTTGTTGTAATAGCTGAAATTCCATGTTTCTTGCACTAATAGGTTTTTTCCCTTAGGGGGATCATCTCATACACCTTTCCCCTATCACTGCTATACAGTTAATAGTAAAAAATTCTGGTGTATTAAAACATACTGAATGTAATTTTACACAGCAATATTATAGGCTGAACGTAGTAAATTTACTAAGTTCCAAAGTAATTTTACTATTTTTAATAATTTTACATTATACGACTATGTAATTTAATAGTTTTGTGTAAATTTACTACGTCCGACGTAGGAAAATTTGATCACTATGTCCAGCATGTGATATTACACTCGTCTGTTTTTATATGTACTTTATTGTAAGATGTAAGTAATGTAAGATTACATGCCGCGTGTATTTTTCGCATGCTCAAAATAAACTGAACTGCCGACACCGACATTTTGCCTTTGTTCTCATTCGAATGTTTTTGTGTTTTTATTAGTATATATTTTAGTTTTTTCAATTTATATAATTTAATTATTTTACCATAATCCATAAGTGTTTATTCTCCATTGGATTTAAGCGTAAGTTCTTGTTTTTCATTAAAATAATATTTAAAAGTATATTTAACAAGCATGCCAGTATTTAGGTTAGAATTAAAAGAAAGACAAACTTTTTATAAAATTGTCACACGAGGTATTTGTAATATTATTTATCATCGTTTTATTAATTATTTTTTATATATATAATAAAATTTTTAAAATCTGAATTTTTTTTTACAGAGAATATACGAAAAACAATTTTGTTTATTAAATATAAAGAACAGAAGAAGAAGAATCTGAAGAAGAAGGTTTTTTTATTTTTAATTATATACATATATAAATATATATTATATGAAAAAAAATAAATAAATATTTTTAAACCAATTATTACGTACTTATACGCTTTTTATTTTTGTTTCACAAAAACCCCCAAATAAGTAGAATGTAAATTTACAAACAAATTGCAATAATACCAAATTTTTAGGTTAAATTGCACGCATTAGTTAAATTACATGCGGCATGTTTTTGAACAGAACGCTATATCTGAAGCAACCCATTTTAACATTGAGCATGTAAAATAACATGCAGGTTATGTCAAATGATCAGCCATTTATAAAATTACACGCTTGACGTAGTGATTTAATTTTCCTACGTCGGACGTAGTATCGAGTCACTGCACCTTTACATTCTAGTTTATTTATTGCATCAGATAATTGTTTAAACTCTTCCTTTGAATGAGTAGGGGTTTTCGGCACATTTTCCTGTACCACATCTTTAATAAAAGGAATTTTATACCCCTGAATAGTGTTTAAAATGAACTTATCCTGTGTTATTTTTCGCCATTTGTCAAAAAACAGAGATAATCTACCTGACACTTTACTTACATTTACCGGCGATCTCGACCTCTCTGGTTCCTGTATTTCTGCCCATCCTGGCGACTCCTGTAGTTCCCCCTCATTGCTCCGGATGGGCCTCTGTAGTTTAACTGTCTAGAAGACGTGGTCTGACCAGAACTTCTGTGAGGCAAACGTTGGAATCTATACGGCTTATCAGTGGCGAACTTGTTGATAGGGGCATTCCTCCCATTCGAGGATGATTTAATGACAGATCTGCTGTCTTTCTCTACCTCACGTGCCGCTTTTAGTCGTTCCGAGAGTTTTTCTCCGAAAAGTAAAGATTCGATTGGCTGACCCGCTGTAACATCTTCTAGTAATCTATTAACATTAGGAGTTATAAAAGCACGCCTTGTAATTGAAATATTATAATGAGCATCCGCCAATATTCGACCTGCATCACTCATAAAAGCCACAGCAGTTGCATCCATGCTCTTTCCTCGATTTAACTCGTTTGATAGGGCCAGTCCAATCGCATGCATCGCAGCTCCTATCTTCTCCTGAGCTTTTACTTGGAAATTATCTTTCTTTTGAGCTTTATCAGTCATATTGCGCTTAATTTCGGAATTTACTACAGGCGGCTTTAACGATGGGAAATTTTCGGGTAGAGAGTACTTTTTTAATGTACAGTAGAACGTACGAATGCCTTCCCCCTGAAGTTGCTGATAGAAATTGCATAAGTACGGTGCAACTTGAAGTTCTATAGTCTATGCTTAAGCAACTGTCATAATAATGAATGTCATCATTGGTCATCAGTACGCAATGTTTATTTTGATTAAATTTTACCACTCTTCACTTTTATATTGCAAATAATTATTTACAATTAATTCCGAGTGTGAATTAATTATAAAGTGTTGCGAAAAAAGTGCTTTAAATATCGCAAGGAAGAATTACGCAGTTAATTACAGGTAAATATAATTTCTGAGTATAATATATGGGTTACACTTTTCCCTTTTTAAAAATAGAAAATGTTTTTAAATTTATACCACAATTATAATAAATTTTTATTATAATTGTAAAAAAATAGTTAATAATATAATTATTATTTAATTAATAACTAAAATTAAATTAAAATTACTTATTTGTCTGTTGGGTTGCTGCAAGTGATTGATAAAATGAGATTCAGGTTAACAATAATAATGACATTTAAAATACACGTGGGATTTTTAAAATTATTTTAATTTACTAATGAGAAGAAATTTAACAACTCTCAACTATTATTCAAAGGTTTATAATATAATAAACAATTTCATGTAAGAATTAAGTTTTGACATTTCGGAGAGTAGAGAAATATTTGAATCCCTAAAAAGAATTTTATTATTTACAAAAATTATTGAATAGGAATAGAAACATAGAAGCTGCACTGTAACGGGAGCGTCAAAACCATGAAATATGGACTATATGGTACGACTTGGAATGTGAATCGAGAAAACATCTTTCCCGGAATTGACGGATTTAATAACAGCCGTGGAGAAGACAGGTGTCGGTGCTATGGAAATTGTCGCTATGGATATAAAATTGTGAAAAATTGCTCGTTGACTTAGTTTTCATGCAGTTGGATTTGAAATTAGATGATTTCATCAAAGTTTACAACCATTTCATCAAATTGTTGAGTATTTTTTTATATTTTAAAATTTATGTTTGTCCAAAAGTAGTCTTTTTGTATTTTATTTGTCTTTATTTTATTTAAATATTCGTTTTTTATTTTTATTTAAATAATTGAAAATTTTTCTGCTTTAGTGTTATGCAAAGCTGCCAAAAAAAATGCGTTGTCATTGGTCTTCAATTAGCGGGTGAAGAACATAATACACTGAAACAATTGGAATGAGATCACGGCGAAACGATTATTTGAGAAGAATTTTTTCCTTGAAATCGCATATAACATTTAAAAATGCCACAAACAACAACTGTTAATCGTTATGTTGCCTACAGCGATAATGACGATAAAATGTCAATTTCCAATTGTCCTCAAACACAAACTCGAAAGAAGAGAAGAGATGGTGGTGACAATGCAAATCTGATATCACAACGTCAAATATCTCAAGAAAGAAGAAAATCAGAAAAAATTCAATTATAGACTAATTAAATAATTAAATATGATTATTTATTGTTTTCAAAACTTTAATAAAATATTTTCAGTACAATTTTAATTGAATTCCACGAAAAGTATAATTATTTTGAAGAAGTTTAAGAAAATTCTTTTCAGAAAATCAATTACTTGGAAAAATTTAAATAAGATTCTTTGCAAAATTTTAATTATTATGAACATTTTTGATTACATTTTTTATGACAATTTAAATATTTTTAATATAATTTTAATATAAAAAAAACTTGGAAAAATACAGTTATTTTTGAAAATTTTAATTAATTTTTAGTAAAGTTTCAATTATTATCATAATCTACTCAATTAATAATTAGTTTTTAGAAATTTATATAAATTCTTTTATAAGAATTCAATTATTTCAAATTCAAAATAATAAACGAAAAAATCTCCTTTTTTGCATAGAAAAAGATAATAATTAAGAATAAAATTTTTTAAAAATATTTGTTCAGGTTTAACAGTGTCAGAAATGCAAAAAAATAAACTACTGAAAGCTAGAGTTGTTTATGCTAGCGCAAAGGGAGCATCAAAATCACGAAGTATGGCCTGTGAGGTACGACTTGGAATGTGGTTGGAGTTTCACAGATTTTATAATAATCGTATATGAACGGATATGGACTTACGAAAAATTATTGTTCGTTAACTTAGTTTTCATGAAGTCGGATTTGAAATTTAGGAAATTAGCTATCACATGATTGTTCCGTCAGATTGGTGAATTTTCTTTCTATCTTAAAATTTATGTTCATCTAAAAATAGTCTTATTATACTTTATGTGTCTCTAAGATCTACCAGGATTCAGGGAAATATTGAATTATATTTTTGTGAATCGATTAAAACAAGTTTCTTTTAATCATCACATTTTTTAATTTTTCGATAGCTAGTTTTAGGATAAGATTGAAAAATTGAAATAGAACCAGTTTTAAGATCAGATTGAGAACTCGAAATAGGACCAGTTTTAGGATCAGATTGAAGACTTTTATTGAGGATTTTTAATAGGATCAGATTCAGGACTTGAAATAGGACCAGTTTTTGGATCAGATTGAGGACTCGAAATAGGACCAGATTTAGAACTTGAAATAGGACCACTTTTAGGAGCAGATTGAGGACTTATAATAGGACCAGTTTTAGGATCAGATTGAGGACTCTAAATAGGACCATTTTTTGGATTAGATTGGGGACAATTAATTGTTATTGTTTTTATAAACTGTACTTAAGGTTATAAATTTTAATTTTTTTATGTGTTGTGCAATTTTTTGTAATTGAGAATGTCGAGAATGAAAATAAACTAAAAATAATGAATTTAAACATCTTTTAAACAATTCGTTTTGTTAATTTTTCAATTTACTGTACTAAAAACTTGAAATTTATAGTTTTTTCTTAATTGTGTAATTTTTTATAAGTTAAACACTGTATTGTAATCGAAAAACTAAAACTTTTTTTTAATCATTGTTTGAACATTTTATTTTGTTAATTTATTCCAGGTATGTGTATTTAATTTATATTTATTTTTCAATAAATGGTTTTTAATTTTTAATCAGCAGTATATGTATGTTTTAGTCATGAAAAAATTCACAATTGTTAAAGAAATTGACATTTCTAACCCTTAGTGGTTACATGAAAAAATAGCAACAATTAATTATTTAAACAATTTTAAAAAATTAATTTTTCATATTAGTAGTTGTTTTACTCCTAAATTAAAATTGCACAATTGTGAAAAAAGTTATCTCTAAGTTAAAAGTTTATCAAGAAAATATACTTTTCCTGGCGCTTGCCATAGTTTGATAATAAAAAAAATAATCGATAAAGAAGCTAGAGAATTACAAAAATTAATTCCAGCCTTTTCCCATACTGTTCCTGACGAGTGCGATAGTTTGGAAATTAAAATATTGTTCATAAAAAGGCTAGAGAATCACAGCTATATATCAATTCCAGCCTTCTCCTATACTTTTGCAGACGAGTCCCTTGGTATAAAAAATCAAAGAATTTAATTTATTTTTATTTATTTGTAAATCAATTAAAATCATCATTTAACAAAATTTTTAATTTTTTTTGCGCTTCTTATCTCTATAACATTCTTAAAAAATGAAAACGTTTCCAAAAATTCTTGGTCGTCCAGTGATTTCATGTTTTTTCTCGAAATTATACAGTATTTATTCCGGATTTTTTTATACAGTTCTTGAACTTTTCCGCCTGTAAGGTAAATATTAATTCGTATTAATGATAATAATAATAATGTTAATAAATTACCTATAAAGAATAATAAATCTTTTTCTAACCTTTTAACCAAACATAACTGCGTTCGGTATTTTTTATGTAGTTTGCAATTTCTTCGAATGCAGTTGTAATCATTCGATTACGGTTGCTAAACTTCGGAATCTCAAATTTTTTATCATATATTATCTTTTGCTTTTTCATTTCTTCGCCAAGAAGCTTTAATAACTTTTTGTCCTCCATTTTACAATTTTTGACAGTTTTTTAACAATCTTAGGTTAAATTATATTAATGCAGCTTGAAGTTCATAACAAAATTTTAAGACAAAAGAGCAACAAAAGTTAGGCGCCAATTTTATGTCTTTTACAGGGAGCAAGAAAAAAATTTTAATTTATTAGTTATATTTATTTCGCCTCTAGGCGAAGAAATGAAAAAGCAAAAGATAATATATGATAAAAACTTTGAGATTCCACAGCTTAGCAACCATAATCGAATGATTACAACTGCATTCGAAGAAATTGCAAACTACATAAAAAATACCAAACGCAGTTATGTTTGGTTAAAAGGTTAGAAAGATATAGGGGAGAGTCGGCAGTGGCGGGACACGCTTTATTTTTTTAGTATATCACCCATATTTTCATGAATATTTAATCCGCATCTACGAAGGCAGAAAAGTCAAGCTGCGTGGAAATGAAAATACGGGCAAAGTCCAGCAAAGTCCATCAAAGTACAGAATAGTATGGGCAAAGCACAGTAAAGTACGGCTAATGAGCGTTTCCGATACTTTGAAATGTGCATGGTTAACAAAGATATTTAAAGTACGGGGACAGTTCCGCAAAGTACGGGATCAAGAAAATAGGTATGGGACGGTAAATATAGTTTTTTTTTAAATAATAAATATGAAAATTGAAATTCAGAATTTTTGGAGTACGGTAAAGTACGGGAAAGTACAGCAAAGTATGGGAGAGTAAAAAAATAGTTTTTTTTTTTGAAATATTAAATATGAAAATCGAAATTCGGAATTTTTGAAGTTCGGCAAAGAACGGAAAAGTGCAGAAAACTATGGGCTAGCAAATAAATGGTTTTTCGTAAAATATAACCTCATAAAATTCAATTTTGGAATTTTCGATTTTCGTAAAGAATATGTCAAAATGTGTAAGAGTCCCTTTTACTCCAAAAAATCATAATTTTATTTTCTAATTTAATATTTCAAAAAAAACTCATTTTCAAATCTCCCATACTTTGCTGCATTTTCCCGTACT